ACACACACACACACACACACACACACACACACACACACACACACACAGCCCAAACAGACGGTTTTACTCCAGCTGCCACAACAAAAAAGTCAAACTTGACCCTCTTCTCCTCAGGTGCTGATGGAGACTCTGTCAGCGTTGGGGGCTCAGTGCAGATGGGCAGCCTGCAACATCTACTCCACCCAGAACGAAGTGGCAGCTGCCCTGGCAGAGGGAGGTGAGACTGGGAGTTCCTGTGTGTGATGACTGCACTTTTTTCTTCCCTCCTGTTTGTCCCTCATTGCTCTCTCTCTCTACGTCTACGTCTAAAATGTCTTCTAGGTTTCAGTGTGTTTGCGTGGAAGGGTGAGTCAGAGGACGACTTCTGGTGGTGCATCGACCGCTGTGTCAACGTGGAAGGCTGGCAACCCAACATGGTAGCACACCTACGTTCTAAATAAAGCTCACTTATGCTTTTATTTTTATTTCCATCCAACAGCGTTGGTGGTGCTGCTATTTTCACCAGACAACCTAGATCTTTTTAAATACAAGGACTCTATTTTTACACTGAGTAGAAGTACATGAAGGATAACATGTACAGCAAAATACAAAGTGCATTTCTCTTTTCAACCATAACATTTGTTAGACATGCAGGAAGGAACTACAGACATATGTCAATAAAAGGAAGTATTAAGCAGATATGTCTTTATCCACATTTCGCTGTCTTTGTTCTCCTTACTTTTGGATTTCCCCCCTCTCAATCTTTCTCTGTCTCCCTTCTGTCAGATCTTGGATGACGGTGGCGACCTGACTCACTGGATCTACAAAAAATACCCCAACATGTTCAAGAAGATCAAGGGCATTGTAGAGGAGAGTGTGACCGGCGTGCACAGGTGGGAGTCGCAGCATGCACACGTTCTTGCCTTTGTCGTCGTCTTAAAGCAATGTTTTTGGTGAAACGTGACATTGCCTCACATAAAACCAGTCTCTGTATTTTAAATTAGAGAATACGCAAGTAAATTGTTGCACAACAACACAGACATGCACTGACACGCTCCCAGTTTCCTGTGTGGTCACATCGCCATCTAGTGGTTAAAATGCTGCCATTAATAGTGCACTGTACAATTGCTGTGTACATAAGACTTAAATGTTAAATAGGATATTTGTTTGACATTTAACAATGACTAATTCATAAATTGATATGATAAAACTAAGCCTGTCTACAAACATAGGTTGTACCAGCTGTCCAAAGCTGGGAAGCTTTGTGTCCCAGCCATGAATGTCAACGACTCCGTGACCAAGCAGAAGTTTGACAACCTCTACTGCTGCAGGGAGTCCATCCTAGACGGGTAGGAAACACCCTCCTGTTTAACCTGGTTGGGGATTATAAAACCGAACATGTTCGGTGTTGCAGGGCAATTACACCCACCTCTGCTCCAAACAGTCCGAATAAATATTATGGCTGCCGGTATAAATGCGTTTCTGTCCTCAGCCTGAAGAGGACCACTGATGTCATGTTCGGAGGCAAACAGGTGGTGGTGTGTGGATACGGAGAGGTAAGGCGGACGTTTCCATAGAGGCTCGAACACATTAAATGATTGTTGTACTGTATGATGATATCCCATGTCTATTATGGCCAGGTGGGAAAAGGCTGCTGTGCCGCCCTGAAAGCGATGGGCTCCATCGTCTACGTCACAGAGATCGACCCAATCTGTGCCTTGCAGGCCTGGTAAGACTCAGCTGGTTGAGCTCCTCATGGCTCACTGCCGGGTGTTGACATTGCATTAGTCTCATGCTCTGTATTGTCTTTCTCACCAACGCAGCATGGACGGCTTCAGGCTGGTGAAACTGAATGAAGTCATCAGACAGGTGGACATCGTCATCACCTGCACAGGTCGGTTCAGCCGCTGTCTCTCTCTGTGTTTGAGCCAAGATAAAAAAAATGTAAAAGGAACATACTATTCTGTCTGTGTTTGTTCAGGATGACTGGACAGATATTCAGTCATTGTCGTCTGTGTCTAACCGCCACTAATCAAGTTCTCAGCTCAGTAGCCAGGGAGTTGTCCTGAACACTTAATTAGAGCACAGAATTACTTGTCTCTGTGCTTCGTTACCTAATGTTGCTGGCAGGCCTGAAGCCGAGGGCTCTCTTAAGGGTGACCGCAATTGAACAGAAAAGATAATAAAAAAAGAGAAGGCACTTTGCTTTTGTGTAAGATTTCCCCAATGAATATATAACACAGGACAATCATTAGATCCAATAAGGTACTGGTTAAATAGATTTTTAGAAAATATGAAAATCTTCCTCTGCTGACATATCATACATGAAATAGTTCATATCCTTTTCAAGTCATCCTTGCATCCAGCGTGTTCCCAAATTGCAGACAGGTGGAGCACTCGCATTAAATTACTAGATGGTGAGATAAGAAGTCATGAAAACCTAGTTTTACTGTGGGCGCCTTTTCAAACGTGTCATTTGATAAAACTTTTACATTTTGTCACTGTTTTGACCTCTTGCTCTTTGTGCATTTGTCCTCACGGTTCTTTCTCTTTTCATCTCTCTCTCGCTCCTTCAGGCAATAAGAACGTGGTGGTGAGAGAGTACCTTGACCGCATGAAGAACGGCTGCATTGTCTGCAACATGGGACACTCCAACACTGAGATCGATGTGGTCAGTCAACAGCTTGCAATAAAAAAAAATAGGGAATGACAGGAAAGATGAAAACATAATCAGCGATACATAAACAAATGTACGGCAGCAAACTGCCATAGTGAGATGAATTAAAGTATTTTATATAAAGCAAACATGAAAGTAGTTCAGACACAAGAGAGGAAGTTGTGAGTCACTTCTTAAAGTTCTTTATTACTGTAAAAGACCAAGCGCCCTGAGTCAACTTCTGGCCCGGGACGATAGACGTCAGACAGCTCAGCCCAGCAGAAATAAGAAGTGGAAACAAACATTGCTCACGATGTTGTGCTCACCCTGTAGGCAAGCCTGAGGACTCCTGAACTGACCTGGGAGAGAGTGCGCTCTCAGGTGGACCACGTCATCTGGCCTGATGGCAAGAGAATAGTGCTGCTGGCTGAGGTACACTGTGGGACACACGCAGCACACACACACACACACACACACACTGACACAGTCTTACCCAGAGGACTTTGAAAGAACACCATAGTAAGGGAACTTTAGATTCTTAGCTACACAGATATGGCGACGCTCACATTTCGTCAACAAATTAAATTGGAGAAAATATGCGAGAGATTTAAACAGACACACAGAATCCAGCATATGCACATTGCAGGTTAAGACTGTGTGTGTCACACACTGTGACAGAATGAGAGCAGTCTCTCGGGGCCAGAAAGACAACCTGCCAGCCCGCCGATGTCTGTCTCTGTTTGATCTCCAGCAGGTTTCACAATCCAAAATAGAGTTTTGTTGCCAAATTCGCATTTATTTAAAGAAGTAATACATCATCTTAATAATATAATCCAGAAAAAGACTATTTCAGATGGCTGGTTTTGTTTAAAGTTTTTAAAAAGATGATGCGTGTTCTTTATCCTTTGTTTCATAACTTTGCCGTTTATTCATTTTATTTATTTATACAAATTCATGATACATGCTTGACTCCATCGCTAAACGAGAGAGAGATGAGCCATTAAGACGAGTTTTGGCAGATGAGACGATGTGGATGCAGTACTGAGAGCAACATAGCAAAATACAGAAACTTAAGCGTCGTCCGCAATTAAAAACACTCATCGTTTGAGTATTGAACCGTCGTGTGATTTTTCTTTTTGTGTGAACTGAGCATCAAAACCTTATGTTTTAATTCTGCTTTTTATCTTGCAACAACAACACAACCTTTCTCTGTTCCCCCTTCCTCAAAGCTACAGAGTGTTTCAGTTCTACTTACTAACTACCTCATTTTCTGCAACACTTGGGAAAATGCACTCACTGCAATGCAGCCTCTCAGACAGCAGCAACAGTTTAGTATTTGGGGCGAAACAAAACATCTTCGTTAACGAAACAGCTGCTGATAAATATTTTCAAGCATCTTGCTTTTTGAAATCTTGTCGGAACCTGAAATAGATTTCTCTTTTCCAACACATTTGTCATCTCACTCCAGACTGCACACATCCTGGCACTTTGGTCTCTCGACTGCAAAGAGGAACCTTGCGTTCTCTAACCGTGTTGTTGCTTTGTCTTCCTCTGCAGGGTCGCCTGCTGAACCTCAGCTGTTCCACCGTGCCCACCTTTGTGCTCTCCATCACCGCCACCACCCAGGTGAAACATTGCTCTCACGTTGCGCCTGGTTATCGCTAATAAAGTATTTTACCAGAGAAGTTGTTTGCGAGTGTATGTGAGTAATGCTTTGTGTGTGTCTCTGCCCAGGCGCTGGCTCTGATTGAGCTGTACAACGCCCCAGAGGGACGCTACAAACAGGATGTGTACCTGCTCCCCAAGAAAATGGGTAAGCACTGAGATGTCAACAAAGACTGCTGAATACAGAAATACACAAAATAGAAGTATAAGTGTGCACAAACAAAGAAAGATATCACGCCAGGGAGATACAAAATAGCCTTGTTTGGTACTTAAGTCGCCACCAAGCAAGTTACTGGCAGTGAGTTTGTTGTTAACCCAGCAGAGAGCCTGCAGGCATATTTCATTTATCTCTTTAGCCGACACAGTCTCATCTGTTCAGTCCAGAGTCGTCTCCCTCATCACTCACAGTAGAATGAATCCTGTTTGTGTGTACATGTGCTTGCATGCGTACAGCACACACACACACTGTCTGCAGCGTTGTCTCGGTGGGTCAGAGCATGTTAAAGAAAAACAGGGAGTCAGATGTAGGTCACCCCGTCAGTGAAGACTGCTGTTACCACGGCACACACTTGACAGAAAAGATGGTGGAGAGAAAGGGGGAAGCAAGGAAATTAAGAACTGAGGAAAGAAAGGAAGCAAAGACACATGGAAGGATGAGGAGGAAGACAGAAGACAGTGCAGAGGAAGGGATGGAGAGTAAACCTTAGAGCCTCCCTCTTCCTTTTCTCATTTGCATGATTAAATAGCCACAGACGCCTGCTGAATGTTAACATGTTCCTCCTCTCTCTCTCGGGCCTCCAGATGAGTATGTGGCCAGCCTACATCTCCCTACGTTTGACGCACATCTCACAGAGCTGAGTGACGAGCAGGCCAAGTATCTGGGCTTGAACAAGAACGGGCCCTTTAAGCCAAACTACTATAGGTATGGAAACACTTCAACACGACACGTTTCAAGAGATAAATCATAGGAAGGAAGAAACGGTTTAGAAACTTATCATCCTAACTTGCTTACTTTCTGTTTTTGTCATTGAGGTATTAAAAACCAGTGCCGGGTTCAGACTGAAGAAATGCAAATACTCCGTGAATGGCACAGACTCATTGAAGGAGAGGAGGATGAGGAGAACAGAAGGAAGGACGGATGGACCAGTCAACACACCTGCATTGTAGTGGGGGGGGGGGGGGGGGGGGGGAGCTCAGACTGAGCCACAGGGGGAGGCAGAAGGGCGTGGCGTTCCCTGCGCTTATGGCAGCCGTTTTTATTTATTTCACGCTCGAAAACAACAATGCCACTCGCCATTAGCTAGCTCCCAGACATCTTCTTCGTCATTTCACCACCATTATCGCTGTCTCTTTAGTCGCTCATCTGTGTGTCGAGTCGTAAGTATATCCTCCATTCTCCCTTGCCATTGCCAGATCTTTTATTGTTTTAATTAAAGATGAACTTATTGATGCTGAAAAGATATATACTATATTAAAAACAAAAAAAATCAGCGTGAATGAATATGACCGTTAGTGACGGACACTTTTTTTCTGTCCTTTTTTTGTTGTCTCTTTTTTCTACCTGTGATTTTTGTTTTTCTCTTGCGTAATACTGCGAGGTTGGGGTTAAACCTAGTGGGCGGGGTTAGGCGGGATCTCAGGGTCCAATCATATCATGTCTTTTATTTGATCGTTTTGTTGAGATTCTCTGTTGTATCTGTTTTTAAACATTTTTTTAAGTCCCTTCGGATCCGCCTGTAGTTTGTCAGAACTACTTTCGTAGTACGACTGGATGGTGGCCGGGTCTTCCCACCTGTCACTCAAAGCCACAGTGAAACCATCTCATTGGCTGCTTCTTCCTCTGCTTCCAGCTGCTCACATGGCGCCAGTGTTGAAGCGATGAGAAGTATTTCAAGCTTGTGAGAGCTAACCTTTTCATTTAGTCTCTTTCTTTACCAAGAATAACTATACTATATTTGAAGCATGACAGGTTGTCAGATCATTACAAGGGGTATACTGTATATTTAGATATTTATATTGAAACTAAGATTTTTCTATCTCTTTCTCTCCTGCATCATCTAACATCATTACTTTTGGAAAAAGAAATCAACATATGTCAATAAGATAAGCAATTAAATGTTCTAATGATAAGTGTAATAAATGTACTTAACCCTCACTTTGAATACTGTGACAGAAGATATTTACAGAGATACCAAATGAGCAGCAAGTTACTACCTGGTCGGTACGTTAAACAGATCAATTCAATCAGGTCCTCCTTGAAAAGTATGGTTCTGTTAAGATTTAGTGTACTTACATACACGCCACAACTCTTTGGTACAGTTTGAAAAATAAAATCTGGGATCTGAATGCCACCATGATTTTTTTTTTCTTTACTTCCGAGAAGCACATTTACCGTCACTGCAGAGTCATGAGCGTTTGCCTAATTTTTTAAGATCTCCAAACTTGCCGTTCTATCCCTGATATATTTGAGTTTCTTCTCCCCCACCTGAAAGGCATAGACTCCACCAGTATAATGATCTGCACCGTCGTCATCCTCGGCAGCTCGTCCCCAGCTGACCTGACGGTGGAAATTAGAAAGTCCTGACAGTCATTTCACCTGACAGCCGAGTGCACCCCTGCCGCTGTACCGGCTCTGCACCTGAACCAATCAGATTCTCTCTAACCTTTAGCCTGCTGGGAGACGCTGCCAGCTTTACTCTCACAGAGAAGGATCAAATGCTGAAACGCACACATGCAGTTCATCCAGTTCTAAAAAATGTACTGCACTTTGTATGGAAAATACATTTGATCATATTACAGATTTTGAAATGGCACAAAAAAGCTTTATCAGTTTAATAAATACTTTTGCCTACTCAAAATACAAATATGCACAATTCATGCATTTTGTTGTTGTGAAGACCAACCAAAGTCTTTAAAGGAATATTTTTGACATTTTGGTAAATGGGCATCATCACTTTCTTGCAGAGAGTTTAGAAAATGTACACCACTCTCATTTTTGTATGATAAATATGTTGCAGGAGCTAGCAGCCAGTTAGCTTATCTTAGCATAAAGGTAACAAAATCCAACATCCAGCACCTCTAAAGCTAGGGTTTCATGCAAATGAAACAAAACGGGCATGTTGATCAGTGACCTTTTTAAACGTGCTTATGAGTTTGTTATCTTTTGAACAGAGCCAGGCTAACTGTCCCCAAAATGTCAAACTATATCTTTTAAATTTGGTAAAAGCTAAATTAAAATCTGTGCATAGGAACACAAACCTAGCATACGTCCATGTGCCACCATGTAATGACGAGATCCTACACTGTGTCACGGCCCACACGACCTCACTGTCACTCCGTTCCCTGCCGATGTTTGTGCGTTTCTCTGTCTCCTTGTGCTGTTGAGAATCTCATCTTCCAGTAGTGTGACTTGTTGTCAGTGTAGCTCTTAAACCTGTTGTCCTGAGTCTTACTTTTCCCTTTTTTTTTTTTTTTTTTTTTTGTTTAGTCAGCCGTAAGCTGACCAACAGACGGGTGGGCGGGGGAAGACACCAGCATCATATATGTATATGCATACAATATACAGATATGACAACCTTTTAAAAGTATAGGGAGGTAAAAGAAGAATCCACTCCTGTATTTATTGTTGTAAATCCTCATACAGTGCAAAACTGGCGAAATTCTCAAACATGTTTTAAGTTGTCTAATAAAGAAGAAAAACAACCTATGTTTAAATATTGCAAGTGATAATGGTAGATGATGAGCAATAATTAAAAAAAAACATTCTGTAATCTTAATGAATAAAGATGTAAAAAATTGTTATCACTTTGTCACCTTGATTTGACTCCTTTTCCAGACTTACTCACCCGCTTCTGCAGGTGGTTGACGTGTGTGTTTCCCGATCTTATGTGGCAGTGTTGTGTTTCTGTGTGTTGGGGGAGGGGGGAGAGGAGCCCATGTGTGCAGCTGCTGAGGTCTGTCAGTGATCTCATCTGAGCCAGTGAACAGAAGGGGACATCTCTGACATCAACAGCTGGCTCTGATCCTTAATTTATTCTGGACACACAAATCAACGTCACAAGGTCAAAGGAATAGTTTGACAAATATAGAGTAAGATGTAATCTACAATAGTCCAAACTATGATTCAAAGATTTACAAATGTTATTCTCTCCAACATATTTCTGTTTCTCGCTCTTACAAAAATGAAACATAGCTCGACAAGAAATGTCTTGAAAGAAAGTTATTTTTATGATATTATTAAAGTTTGTGAAAAGATCACTTCCTCACTCCAAATATGCTCCAATTCAAATGCTCTTATCTGTAGAATTGTAAATGTTTTGTTTTTTTTATTAAAATATATTCATGCAAAAGCCTCACTTAGACATATTTTTTCAAGGGGCACTCCCTCAAAAATGCCAAAGATCAATGTTCTTATGTCAAGTACTTGTGAGCCTGTGAAAATAATTGTATGTCTTCTGTAGATCAGGAGGAGCTATCTTAGGTCTGAGGAAATAACCCTGAAAATGGCACCAGGGTTATTTCAGCTGGGACTTGGAGACTAAATTTATAACGGAAAGCCTGTGTAGGAAACTGTGGGGCATGATGGGAATCCTAGCATTCAGTGTTTTTGGAGCTTGACCCATCTTGGGGACTAAACGTCCTGTTTTCTTGGCCCCTGCCAGTTTGATTTTGGCCCCATATGTTTCGGAAGTGCGATACTAATCGCTGCAATTCGCCTTTATGATTCTAAAAAAACTATTTTTAATGGCTACTTTTTTAGCATACCTCAAAGTAAACATTACCAAAGCCAGAGAGATAAAAAGAAAATTAACATTTCTTCTTTGAAATACAACTCGTTCTCTGTTGTTGGTTTACTCTTAATTAAATTTATTATACAAAGTATCGATGGATTTATGGCTTTGTCAGGCTTGAGTCTAAATTATTAATGAAATTGTCCCCCGTTGTCCTGCCATGTGGTCCCCTTCCACCAGAAATTCAAGCTGACATTCAACTATGCAATCCAATCATGTCATCTAAAGTGGTTTGTCACAGTGTGTGGGTTGTGTGTTGGTAGACATGTGGGTGGGTTTGGCAACTTACACACCAACCTCATATCAACCGCATATCAATAATTCACTTCTTCTCTGCGGGGGGGGGGCACCTCCATCTAACATTTAAACTGGAGGAGTCACAGAAATAAAGAGGCAGACACATGAACTAATCTGGACCAATGACAGCAGGTTGCATTACTAGGCTTTTTATTACCAAGGAGAGAAATCTTGTTTCATAGGAATTGAGTTTGACACAGCTGGTGGGAAAACATCATTCATCAGCCAAAGCTAGTAAATGTTGGTGGTTGGTATGTTTCTACCGAATCTGGAGCAGGTACCCAACTGAGCTGTCAAAACACAGTAACCACATATTTGGTCAAAGAGGAGTTAAGACCACAAAGTGACTTTTCTTTGAGAAACAGCATGAGCAGTGACTGAGAAAGCCTTAGCAAAAGCTAATTTACACCCTTTTTCCGACCTATTTCCTGTTTTGATGCCTCAATATAAATAGTTAATTGAGTTTGTTGTACAATATAAATAAGTTAATAGATAAATGTAATCTTAATGGAGAAAAAAAAAGACATCGGATTGTCCTGCTACAAGGTAACTAGCAGAGTATCAGTAACTGTCATCTCAGCCTGCTGGAATTTTCATGTGGTTAAGCTCCTTTAATTACATTCAAACGTACTAAATTATAGGTCAATTTATTAAACTAGCTCATACATTTAAACAGACAAGAAGGCTGATGAAGAAACAGGAACATATGTAGTCATTCAATGTATTCACATTCTGTAGGTTTTAACTCTTAGTGGCGGAGTCCGCCATTCAAGTTGCCTTCACAAACAGAAGGGATTTACAGGAAAACGGTGCATATGTCATTTTAACATTAACATTTACACTTTGACTGCACCTCCAGTGACAATCAGGAATTTAAAAATGTTTGTCATGAAAAATCTTTATGTATCATTTACATAAATATTGATATATGTTATAGTCCTGTACATCTGTATATCTTTCTGTAATATGATTAACATTTTGATATTTGGAGGATCTTGTTTTAAATTCTCGTATCTCCAAGATGATATAATTGTTACGAGTATTAAACGAGCTGTATTAGTCCTACTTTTGCATGTTGAGCCATCAACTCTCCACATTAGCGCGTTGACATGCGTAACATTACCTCGTTTAACTTTCAGGTGGTCAGCTGATGCTCCTCTCTGCTGTTGACTCTCTAACCCCGCCCTCTTGGAGCGCATGGGGACAGTGAACCAAACAGAGAGGGGGGAGCACGAGCAGTAGCAGCAGCAGGAGGAGGAGGAGGAGGAGATCCACAACTTGGGCTTCTGGAGCCGGTGCTTCCCCTGGCGCGGTGCAGTCACAGCTCACCACCGGACCGGTATACACTATCTGCGGAGAGGGAAGTGAGCCGCACCGACTGAGAAAGATGCAGGCGGAGGACATGGAGGTACCTATCATTAATAACCTTAACGGTAACGGGGACAGGCAGAGGCCGAAAGGGAAAGATGTGTTCAAGGATCAGCAGGAGTCGGAGGTAAATTGAAGAGGCGATTATGTGCAGTCGGTTACAACCCGCTTATGGTACAGGAGCGCGCTGGAGGGGTGTGTGTGTGTGTGTGTGTGTGTGTGTGTGTGTGTGTATGTGTGTGTGTGTGTGTGTGTGTGTGTGTGTGTGTGTGTGTGTTGCTGGGTAGCTTGGTAGCTTTCCGTCCAGCTGAATGTCCTTTCCATTGCAGTGAGTCGACGTCTTGGCTGGGAAGCATGCAGACAGGCAGGCAGGCAGACACCTAGGTGTTATTTTGGCAACCGGCTCCTATAAATAACCCCCAGCAGTAATCTCAACGTGGAGAATGCAGGAGGTGAAGTCGGAGTACCCTCACCACCAAGCATATCTCAAAATTAGAGTCATTTGATATTTATATTTATTTTTTATTCTCCTGCGGTAAATATTCCATGAATTATAATCTCCTTATCGATCATAGTTAACATTGTGTTTGTGTCTGTCAGTATATTGGTTTATTGACTCAAATTAAATACATTTTGATTGTCTATGTTAAAGTAATTCATCAAGTCGCACCTTAATAGTACACATTTGCAGGTTAAAGCTTCACAAAGGCAAAATAGTATCACTTCATATCATTGTAAATGGGTTTGCTGGTCAAATTAAGTGACCAATTTAAGACTCGACTTTGGTCTCTGGTAATATGTAATACTATGTATTGTATAAGAGCATTAGTGCACTTGTTACTGCGCTTAAATTTAAGTCAGCAACTAACAATCATTTTCATTATGTATTAATCTGCAAACTATTTTCTCCATTCATCAATTAATCATTTGAATACATAAAAATTGTGAGCAGCAACCTGACAAGATTCCCTTTAATCCAATCATGGATGCCGAGACGTACCAGTTTACGTTTACGTATGTACAGATATGTTGTGATTTTAAGAGTGTTTGGAGCCACCTTCTGAAATATGGACCTGCAACTCTGCTTCTCTGAACATGGAAGCAGCATGGCTCACGTTCAGCCTGATGATGCCTCTTTTTTAGTGCACTTGCAGCTATAATTCTTCCCTTCATGAAAAAAATGAGAAGAAGATGTGTTTTTCATTCCTGGGGTTCCTCAGTCCAGATACATCAGAGGAGTTAAACGGTCAAAGCTGTCGTCCAGGCAAAAATCCAGTCACCCCTGGCGTGTGTGTGTGTGTGTGTGTGTGTGTGTGTGTGTGTGTGTGTGTGTGTGTGTGTTATTGTTTGAGCACAGTGAATTGTTTTGAGGGAATTAGAGCATATTCATCTCACAGCCGTTGGATTTGGGGTTGAGTGGTTGTTGATGGGGGGGGGGGGGCACTAAACGTCAAAGCCATATGTTGATGCTGATACTCCCTGGCCACTGCACTGGAACCGGGGCTCCTGTGTCTGTCTGTTAAGTTAACCTCGAATCTGATTCGTTCATGTGTAAATTGTCCCTCATTTGTGCTGGCTAGAGCAGCCGTCTCTTGTCTATGTGGCATATGTTGTGTAGGAGTTGGGGTGGCCTGCCTTGACATTGCGCCCAGTGTTTGCACACTGATGTGGTGCAGAGTGTTGGGGCACAGAAGCGGTGCCAGTTTGGAGCGAGGGCGACTTTCGTTATCAGCTGGCGGCAGAGAGGGGAGACAGACTGGATGAGAAAAAGGAAGGAGAGAGAGACAGAGGGAGCAGTAGGAGCACACAGAGAGAGAGAGACAGGCTTCTCCTGTGTTGATGCTCAAGGGAATTAAAGAAACATCCCAGTTGAGTTTGGAAAGAACGACCACTCCGGTTTCAGGGGCAAGTCGAGTCCCCCGGCGCAGCGTGTCCCTGGGTGACAGTGGGTTCTTCCCCAGATGGACGGTGGATGAGGCTGCTTGTTCGATTATTCATTACCTGTAATAGTAATTGACCACAACATTAACCGTGAAAGTCATTTATCGGGTAAAATTGTCCAAAAAATGTTGGTTCCAGCTGCTCAAATGTGAGGATTTGCAGCTTTTCTCTGTTTTATATCGAAACCCTTTTTATTGTCATATACATATACACATACACGAAATTTGACCTCTGCATTTGACCCATCCCTGTATATAGGGAGCAGTTTTATATCGGGAGCATATTGTTTCAAATTTGATATATTTTGGTTGTAATCTGTTGGTTGGACAAAATAAGCAATTTGAAGACCAAATGTTCACAATTATCTGACACATAATAGATTAAATGGTGAATGAATTCATCACAAAACGGATGGATCTTGTTGTAAGAATTATGGTACTTTATTTCAGTTGAGCTATGAAATCTTTTAGTCTGTAATATGAGTCAAGCTCAAAGAATGCTGGATCCTACATTTCCCTCATGTAACCATTAGCATCTTTTCATTAGACTCTCCCTGTCTTTCAAACTCCACACACCCAGTTTGGAATATTGACTTTTCTGTAATAGATTTGAAGTCTTAGCCGAGACAACCCTGATGAGATCAGCAGCGTTATTATGTCATGCTGGTGATGTCATCATTCTTTGTTGGGCTGTGTGAAATCCAAAGTTTGATGGTCTTGTCTGTTGGACAAAAGAAGATATTTGGAGGCAGGAATTAATTGCCTTTTTATAGACCGAACATATAAATGAATCAAAATAATCAACACGTTAGTCGATAATGAAAATTATTTCTTAGCCCCGTAACAGACTGAAGCATCGGACGGCAGGATGAAATGGGAAGTGAATGTTGGGGAAAAGTGGGCCTTTCAATAGAGCTTGTTGATTGGCATTGATTTTTACATTTTACAGTGAGTTAAGTAATAAAACCCCATGATATAAATGGACTAATGATTTCAACACATATGACGGCGGTATTGAGAGCGGTGTCCGTAATCGACGTCTTGCAGCTGGATCAATGATAAGCAGACGCTATACACGCCATAAACAACATACCATCATGTGTAGTGTGTAGGAAGCTGAAGGGACTGAAGAGGAGACTAAAGAGCATGACTTTATAAGAGACATTATGGTGCTTTTAACTGCAAGGCCACCCTGTACTGTCTTCTTCTTAATGCACTGGAATTAGAGTGGAGAAGTACGTTTGGACTTCTCCAAAATAGAATGCCACTTTGGTTGATTTCCAGAACTTGTTGCAGATGGTAAAAGTGAGGCAGCACATGGCCACAACTGCCCACAGGCTTCCTTCACTCGCGATCAGAGGTGTGGGTCAGTTAGTCGAATCATCTGCGCTTCCAGGTGCTTCTCATTTCCTGGTTGCAGTGCAGTAATGACATCGAATCTCGTAAAACAAACTTCCAGCTGACCGTCCTGTATATTTCAGTTCGTGCTGACTTGGTTGCAGCAGGTATTTATAGGAGACCGTTCCATGACAGCATGCAGACTTGTTTAACCAGGATAGATGACTCAGAGCACATCCTTATTTACAGTCCTGGCCTTGAGGCAATTCTGACAGGGTTAAACACATCTAACACTCGTAGCTTTTAGCCTCCCAGTGCTGCCAGGAGGGATTTTCTTTTTCATCCTCATTAACATAAAATGTATCTTTAATCGTCCCTTTAGGGAAATTTCATCAGTTCACATCCTCCACTGAAAAAGAAAGATTAAAAAAAAACCAAGAATGTTGCAGCCACCAGCCTATTCTCTTCCTACTATTAAGCCTCCATTTGCCCCAGGCGGTAATCATAACCAGGTTACACTCTCAAGGTTATTGATATCATGAAGTGCTCATCTATTTTAGAGAGAAGAAGTCCTTTCCCAGGGTTGGAACATTTGGGCCTCTATGTGAGCGTGTCTGCCCACCTCCTTCTAAGGTTATGCACTAAATGTGAGGACGTGCACATGGATCATATGCTCTTCATTCAAAAACCTGCTGATACCACTTTGTCATCGGGCTCAAAACACGGCTTGTCTTTTTTAAGAGTTAATATTTTGGGACGTGCAAGGTTGCAGCAAACATTTGTGCAATTTGCATGGAGCCGGCAAGCGTGTGCTTAAAAAAAACGTAACGTGTGCAGTCTGTCTCGTGCTAATCACAGGGTGAGGATAACGTCAGAGCCAGGAGAGACCCTCGACTGCATACGGGAGCTAATCTGCTCTGAAACGAGGGGCCGGGTTGACTCTCTTTCCTCACTCATTACTCACTGCAGTTTATTGCTCCACCGAACATCTGGGTCTTTTGTTAGGGAGAGAATCAGTCTGATCAAAGCTGTAGCTGGTTGTGGAGAGCATCTGTAATTGTGAGTCGGATGTGAGAGAGAAAGAAAATGTAAATGACTAATCAACGCCGCCTAGATATTCAGCAGCCAATCAAAACTCAAAAGTACACACGATGAAACGAAACTGTGAATGAGCCTGAAGAGTGTGCGTGGGTGATGTGTGGAGTTGAAGTGCGTGACCGTAAGTGGAGTACAGAGTAGTGGTACAGTAGGTGTTGGAAAATGTGAATTGCCTGCAGTATGTTTATGCACGTGGGTGTCAGGACATCTGTGATTTAGCCGAGATCAGTGTCGTACTATAATGTATACGCAAATGTGTGTTTTGCTCTTCACAGAGCTCCATGGAGTCTCCAAACCTGGAGTTTGAGTACGGAGACACAGACGCACTGACTGCTGAGCTTTCAGGTAAGACTGGCCAGCCGCTAAACACCACACGTTTCTTCCAAGTGGTTAGAAAATGAACATTTATGTCCCTGATAACTGCAACAAAAGCTTGCACCACATTCTCATACAGTAGCAGCTGCATTCAATGTACTTACTCTTAGTTAGAGTGATACGATTAGATTTGGTTCAATAAATGTATGTAATCTAAGAAGAAGTATTTGTGATTCTGCCACCATGTCTGCTACATATATTGTTTATTAAAATCTGGTTTTCTCACAATGGGGTATGCAAGTCTTTAGCCATGCTAGTAAAATGGACCTAGTAATGGTGATGTCGTTCCATCACTTTGGTCCAGACTGAAACATCTGAACCGCTATATGATGGATTTTCATGACATTTTGTCCAGACATTCATGGTCCCCAGGGGATGAATCCCACTGACTTTGATGATCCCCTGACTTTTCCTCTTTTGCCAAGTTGAGGTTGACAATTTTTGCTTTTCGAGAAATATATCTCAACAACTACTGCATCGACTGCCGTGACATTTTGCACAGACATTCATCGTACTCAGAGGATGAATTTGAATGAATTTGATGATCTCCAGACTTTTCTTAGTGCCATCAGGTGGACGTTTGTACAGTATTTTAGTGAATGACCAAAACTAATCTGCAAAACTAATGACATTCCCATCAGCCTAGCATGCTAACACACTGAACTATAACACAACAATGATACCTTCTTAGCCTCAGCATGTTAGCATTGTTTTTGTGAGCATGTCAGGATGCTAACATTAGCATGTAGCTCAAAGCCCAGCTGTGCTTTTTGTACATTCTCTCAGAGCCCTATGGCTGTCAACTCTTAGTCTTGTTGTGGCACAAACGGCCATTTGTAAATCTGGATTGTCATGTACCTTCATGCACACGTCCGGCCTGGTTACTTGCTTGAATCTGTCCTTCTTTGCACTTTCCTCAGCTTTTATCCAATTCTCTTTTCATGTCAAACTGATTCAGACTTAAACCTAAAACTAGTGACTGGTCGACGTGAGAATTCCTGCAGTAATACCTCTGGTTCTACTTAGCATACAGACTACAATGTGCTATCGATTGTAAAATATAATGCTGTTTCTGCATTCCTCCGTTTTTTTCTTCAGCTGTTTTATGTTACAGCGTTGTTCATTAAAAGAAGACAAAAAGCTGACATACTGCCGAAGGCACAGAACAAAATCTTGTCGTCGTGTCATGTTTTCCAGACATAGGACACATTGTACGACTAATTTTATGCGTAATCATCAGAACTATGATTATACATTCAGAACTACTGTATTGTTCCAGCATCTGTGTATCTGGTAACAGCTCATGCATGGCTTGGATCTTGAATTATAAATGCCCAAAGGTGCATAAAAGACAGAAGAATAGAAGTCAACGATGCTCATAGATGTTTCTGATTGTACTTTATAGTTTATTTTAGGTGTATAATTTCGATTGATTGTCCTCCTGGTGGATGGCATGTGGCAGCTGAGTGTTAGTCACATTGGCAAACGCACAGAAACAGACCGACAGTCACAGCGGCTTTCTAGCGGCAGCTTCGTGGGGTCGCGTAGTGACGCCTGTTCTGAGAACCGGAGGAGAAGCATGGCGACGGGACGAATCATTCGACTGTGCAGGAAACAGATGAGATCACCACTGAGGAGACAGGAACTTGTTTGTTTTTGTTGTGTAGCACAGTTTACCTGCAGGAGTGCACCTGTCTCCTATTTCTATTATATTATGTTCTATTCTATTTAGGGCTGTAACTACCCATTTGTTTCATCATCGATTAATCTGTTATTTTTGATTCAATGATTAATTATTTGATCTATGAAACTTGATGACGTAAAAACAAAAATATGCTTAAAAAAATATTTTTATATGTTGGCTTATCGTTTCAGCTCTAATTCTGTTGTATTGTTGTCTGTCCACAGAGCTCTACAGTTACACAGAGGAGCCAGAGTTTGCCCTAAACAGAGACTACTTTGAGGAGGACTTCAGGAGCCATGGTAGTGTGTGTGTGTGTGTGTGTGTGTGTGTGTGTGTGTGTGTGAAGCACATTATAAGAGCTATTAAATGGCTGTGGATATGCTGTCTGCACATCCCTTAATGTGTTAAGATCACTTGTAGGTGTGTCGTTCCCCTCGCTCTCTGTGGCTCACATGAAGAGTCAAAAACTGAGCTCCAATTGTGCTTGAGACACAAAAGTGTCACACAAATACTCCCACTGTGTATGTAGGGTCTTGGCAAACACACAGAAGTCTACAGCCAGTAATGCTGTTTATCACAGAGACCTTGAGGGCTCCTGCAACAGTGACTCCTCGCTGTCACCGAGTCCTTTTGTGTAGCTCTGACCGGCCCTGTGGGCCCAAGTTCAGGGCTTGATAAGAGTGACCATGAGTGAGATGATGAAGGTTAACCAAACAAAATGTTCACGACACAGTACACGCATGATAAAATATGTGTTGAAGGGAATTGCAAGTGAAAGGAATAAATGGATAAAGCAGAGATGTAGTCACATTGCAGCACTCAGGAACTCCTGCTGGCGCTGCAATGTTAACTTTCATTTCTATTTTATTTTTTTTCTTCATTCCATTGAAAAAAAATTATATTTTTAGAATTGTTACTTTACAAATTAGACATTGCAACTGGGATCGTTAAAACATTTCACTGCTCCGGTGCGTTTCTCAGCCTTACACCAAAAGCTGTAAAGGGATGTGTTGGGCTCAGTTTTCTCACCTCTGAAGTGCAACAAAAGCCGGCGTTGCTCTTCAGTGTGCTGCTGTGGGTGTTATTTTTTAAGCCGACCTGTGTGAGGCGGGTGACCAGGCACATCAAAGCTCTGCTCTTATAAGCCGTTCAAAGAATGAATATCCCCACAGATTCACATGGGAGGGCCCATCCTAACCACGTGATTAATATTTGGTTACCAAGAACTAGGCAGCTCTTCCAACATGAGTTACTGTCTGACAAGAGACTAAGCTTGAATACAATGTCTCTTCACCAGATATTTTTTATCGTACTCTCTTGTCTTGTGTAGAAATGATGAAGTTTAATTCTAAGTAACATATTCCATAAAAAGAGAGAATAAAGAACCATCATTTGTTGTAATTTTTCATCCTTTTGTTGCATTTGGTTGCAATGGAAGAAGGTTTTTGGGGTGATGATATTATCTAACTACATACCCCAGATATCACTCTGGTGAAAAACCAAGTAAGAAGCCATTATGGTCTCTAGGCACTGTGGCATCTTTCCATTGGCTCATGACAAAGAGCGAGACGAGCCTCATCCTCTTCATCTGTCACCTCCTCTCCAAGCTGAGCGGTAATGAATAGCAGGATTAGATGAGAGCTTCTCCGGCTGCTGTTTTACAGAGATAGAGCACAGAGCTGCCTCTTTGCATTATGGTCTTTTCATTAGCGTGTGTGTATCTGTGTGTGTTCAGTGGGCAATGTATGTTAGTTATCAGAGGGTGGTTCTCCTCTATGACTTGTGCTCTTTGTGTGTGTGTGTGTATGACAGGGCCACTGACAGTGTGCTCATCAATGTTTTTTCACAACTAACCATGACTTCCCAATCATCTGAATTACTGTGATTATCACAGTGTGTTTCATTTAATCTCTTTACCCAAGTAAAGAAAGATTTTTGGGGAAAGTGCTGAAATTAGACAGCATTTTCTGTATTTCCTGACTTGAGTAGACGGCACAAGTCAGAGGAAGAAGAAGCGCTGAGCTCAACCGATCATGATAATGTTACGATGCTTTTAATGCCTTTTACTGTCCGCGTAATGAAATGAAGCGTCTAAGAATAGAAGAATAACACTGTTAAAAAAACATGGTGTGCATTTCTTTAAAAGCTGTATTTTTTGTAGTAGTAGAAGTCTCATTGCGTGCTGGTCCCTCCTCATGACATCACGGACTCTGTTAATTACGGCTCTCTCTTATTCAACACTCACTAGCTTTCAGCTATTTCCAGAGCTGAAGCATTGGGCCTGAACATAATGTTAAAAGCTAATGACAGATGCATCAACGCAGCGGCAGTCAGCCTCTATATTTCCACACACAGTTCAACAACATGAGTACTGTGAATATCCAGATCAAGGTAGCAGTTTTACCAAAATTAGATTCAGATTCATTCTTTGTAGACCTCTATAGAGGAATGTAGCTTTTCACAGGCTGTAAACAAACATCAGGCAAGTTGGGAGTGGGGAGGCCAATTCCAATTTTTCAGGAGCTTGTCTTTATACGTGAGGGTGAGCATGGTGAAGTAGCAGGTGGCGCAGTACAGGAGGATGGGTTTAATACTGCTGCAATACAGAGGGAGCAGGAGGTGGCGTTTGACTGCGAGAGCCCTTAGGCTGTGGCTGGCAGAGTCTTTGTTTTAGATGTCTCTGGTGTGGTAGTCAAAGCTCAGTTTATTCTTCAAGTTGATGCCGATGTACTTAAAGCTATCCACCATCTCCAATCGGCGGTGGGGGAAATGAGGGGGAGTGTCACGAAGAGGAGCTCCTTCGTCATTGGTGACGTCGAGGAGGAGGTGGCAGTCTGTACACCATTGTACTGGGCGTAGCGGGCAAACCGATTGTTGGCAGGCTGTGACTGAGTCCCTGTCCTGTGAGGAGGGCGAATACGGCCGTGCTGTCAGAATATTTAAAGCACCTGCCAGGCGAGAGTAGAGCAGAGCATCTGCCACACGCAGCAGGTCAATTATTTGCAGTCCCCACGATTTCCCGAGCAATCTCAGTTTGATTAATATTTTATGAAACATGGGGAAGGAGGACAGGAGAGATGAGCGCTATGACATGCAGAAAGTAAAGAGTAAGGGAAACACTACAGGGAGTAAAAACTGCAGCAGTAAAAAATGAGTCCATCCCCGATTTGCAGGACATGCAGACTTGCAGTTAGCTTGTAAAGTTGTCTTTGTGCATTGAGGTGGTGCTCACAATAACATTACCGTACATGACACACTGTGGCTTACATAATGTATTAAAACCAGATGATAATGAGTACAGTGACTGATAGAAAAGAGAATGAGTATGATGTTATAGTAGCCTACACTGTCTGAGGCAGAGGAAGAAGATGAAATAACTTTGCCCACTCTGTTGCCGTGTCTTTCCTGCAGCTCGAGGCCGGCGGTGGATCGAGCTGACGGTGGAGGAGCAGAGGTCCCATGTGATGAGGCTGCTGGACGCGCTGGAGGTGACGGACAGAGACAAGAGGCTGAAGGTGGCCAGGGCCATCCTCTACTTGGCTCAGGGTGCGTGGGACCAATGCAGTACAACCAGCATTAGGCCTTTTTTTCACAGCAGCAGGAACAGCACAGGTGTATTACTATCTACTGACGATGGACCTGTTCTCTCCCGGTATCCTAGTAGGCCGTGACAGTGAGCCAGCATGCACAATACCAGAACTAAATGGAATTCAGCCATCATTAATTTTCTGCTGTGATATGTCAAAGTGTCTTTCTACGCACCACGCTGTCACAGTTAGAGCTGTAAACTACTACTCTGTTTGTTGTTTACTTTTTTACTTTAACAAAAATTAGCTTCTAAAAGTTCCCCACATCTTTTTTTTTTTTTTTTTTTTTTTTCCCTCCCCTCAGGAGTGTTTGATGAGTGCGACACAGAGGTGGATGTGCTCCACTGGTCCAGACACAATGTCTTTCTGCTCTACGACATGGGCATCTTCACGGCACTGCTGGAGCTGCTTAGCATGGAGATAGAGTGAGTAGGACACGCCGAATATGCTGGGGATATGCGAGTCATTAAAGAAAACTTCCTAATAAATATGAATGTCATCAAAACCACCAGCTACAATGTCATTTTCACCTTGGATTTGCTTGATGATAAATAAGATTACAGACTTACTGCTGCTCATGTATTTACTGGATGTGAGGGTATGGGAAAGGGACATAAAGGGCAAGTAAGCCATAGAAATAGGCAGCGCAGACCTGCAGGTGCCTTTTATAAATGTATATCCCCCTTGGGTGATGGCCTGCAGGCAGTAAAGGAAGGGAGGGGACTCTAATAAAAAGTAAAAAGTGCCATGTTCTCCATGTTTCATGTTTCTCAGATGAAGGGAACCTTTATCCTGAAATCTGGACGTCTTTCATTGGGTGGCCTGTTCTTGAAAGCTCATAGGTTCAAACCCTGAAATAGTCAATGTTTCTTTCTCGCTCAGTATCCTCCCGTGTTGGAAGCTCTGGTCCCTCAGCACATCCACTCATTCCCTCCCAAGGTTTATGTGGATAGAAATACACAGACAGACATTGAGAGAGAAAGAGATGCAGGAATACAGTAAACACACCGCCTGTGATTCCACACTTCAATCCCTCCGTTGAGGACGCGGTGCGGCAGCGCCTCCTTCAAGTCGGCTTTGTTGCTGCTGGTGTCGGCCTCAGTTGGGATCCGGCGCTTCTTTGTTGTTACATAAGCTACTCTGAGGCATCATGGCACAGTCTGTCCTATCGACATGCTGCACAGCAGAGCAGTGTAAGCAAGGCATCAAAAGTGTCTCGCACTAAAAAATGAGACTTGAGGTTGTGTGTTTAAAAACTCTGGATCATTATAACCTTATCTTCATGCTTTTTTTGTGTATGCCCAGACTGGCTCTTCTTTTTCAAATAAACCACAAAAAATGATGCAAATATTTACTTGTGTCTGCAGTAACAACCAGGCATGCAGTAGTGCGGTGAGGAAGCCTGCCATCTCTCTGGCAGACAGCACAGAGCTCAGGTAAGTAATACAACCACATGACTCACAGCCTACTCCACATTCCTCTCACTTCACACAAGAAGGAAAGCAAATATGTACAAAAATGTCTTCCAATTCTTCAACCTTTTTAAAAAAAAAAAATACTATTTTTCATGCTTCCCTGTCTGTCATCCGGCCACAAGCACACATGTTTACACACACACACACTTAATCCGCAACATTTAATTATATTATTTTTCCCTCAAATTAATTTTCTGCTTAATGAAATTGATTTTTTTTTTTTAAACAAAGAAATGCTGAACACCCCTCTACACCCACATAGAGACACTTGTATGTTCACACATAGGCAGAGCCCCGTCTGTGCATTTCCCAGTTGAACACTTTCAAATAATTACTGGCTAGAGGAGTAGATCTGCACCTAATGGCTTCCACAAAATTGAAAACCATTATAGTTATTTTGAACTGTGAGGCTTTGTTGAGCGAACAAAGCATTCAATGGATAAAACACCGCCTGACTTACATCAGGTAATTGTGAATGCATGGTGCATTATCCTGGCAGAGAATACAAATTATTTCCTCTCAAACTTATATGCACAAGAAGATTGCATTCAATCCTCCGCTGCTTCTTGCACTTCCCTTTTCATTGCTACTCATCATTTTCTCCATCATATTATTGTCACTTGTACTTGTTGACCTTTTTAAGCCCATTATTATCGTTCCAGGCACCAGTTGAATGACCACCACACACACACACACATTGGATCAAGCTGAGTATTGTCTTTCCTTTCTTTGCAGAGTCCTACTGAGCATCATGTACTTGATAGTGGAGACCATTAGAGTTCAAACGGAGGATGACAGACCTGAATGGAGAGCAGCAAGAGAAGCCTTCAAGAATGAGCTAGGTGTGTGTGTGTGTGTGTGTGTGTGTGTGTGTGTGTGTGTGTGTGTGTTTAACAAATATAGGGCACTTCTGCTAAAATATAACGGTTGCTGTGGTAGTATACTTTTATAAATATGTAATCCTTTGACCTAAAACATCCCTGATTCATGGCCATCATTTCTCGTAAAGCACAGGAGAGTCTGTCTTAGCAGGTGCTTTCATATATCCAATCCAAAAGCACAGACTTTGACCTTTGACCCCCCCAGGTTCCCCTCTGTACAACGGAGAGCCCCTCGCCCTGCTCCTCTTCACCATGGTGACCAAGTTCTGCAGCATGAATGCCCCGCACTTCCCCATGAAGAAAGTGCTACTGCTGCTCTGGAAGACAATACTGGTTGGTACATTATGACCATTCAAACACTGACACATAATGCACGTGAATCAATACGTGAATCAATTCCTGTGTATTTCTGCATCTTTGTTCGTGTGCCTTTGTTAGTGTGTTCCTATTTGCTTATTTACCTGTACAGCCTTAATGAGAGTTTGGAATGTTTTTGTCCACAAATTGCACATATTATAAACAGGGACCACCAGAGGTAGCCATTGTTTTCCATTAAGTTCATACATCCACCTGCATTCTGTGAATCGCTGTTTCCCTCTCCATCCTTATCTTCCAGTTCACCTTGGGGGGCTTCGAGGAGCTTCAGGAAATGAAGGTGCGTGGCCGGGAGTGTCTGAACCTGGCCCCGCTGCCAGAGGACAGCATCAAGGTGGTCAGGGCCATGAGAGCGGCCTCACCCCCGGCCTCTGCCATGGAGCTCATTGAACAGCAGCAGCAGCAGAAGAGAGGTCGCCGCAGCCGCAGGGTACAGACCCCCCCCCCCCCTCCACGAACCACATGCATTCAGTGTTTGTTACTTTACAGCCAAACATTACATTGTCCTCCCTATCTGATTGCGCGCACACACACACACACACACACAGACACACACAAACACACAACACATTCACTTCAAAAAACACATACTCGTTTAACAAAACGTGCAGATGTCATCATATGTGAGACAGTATTTCAGAAAGTGTGTTTGCTACCTTTAACCCTACAGTATAACTGAACTTTATTACTAACATGACATTGTAAATGCTACCTACATGTAAGACTAATTTTTCCATTATTCGCCCTTTTATTGTTGAACTGCTTCATCTGTTTCTAAAGTGATCTCACAGACTTCCTCCCTTAACTCATCCTCTAACTATTTTCCGGGTCCGGCTTTCCAAAAGTTCTTAAGCGCCAACATCACTGGTTCTCTGTTGTAAGTCAGCGATGCCAGAGATGTTATTGGTGCTGGGGCGGCTCTTTAGAGCTTTGACTGGACAGGCTCTCTCTCTAACTGCACTCTGGTCTCTCATTGCCCCTCTTCCTTGTGTTCCCACAGAGTGCCTTTGTTGATAGCTTGGAAGGAGACAGTCCCTTTCCCAAGAAGCAGGTCTTTACCCACAAATTCCCTCTTTTCCTTCTGCATTTTCTCTCTGCACTGAGCTGGCCTTTTTGCACTCGTCTCCCACATCCCCGCCACCCACTTTTCTCTCTCTTCTTTCTGCACTCCCTTCTCTCTCTTTGTCTTTTCCTATTCTCCTCCCCCTCCTGTCATTTAAACTCATCCAATCATACCAGGATGCACCAAAAACTGAGGAAGCAATATTTAACATGTCAGAAATGTGACCCTTTTCACACAATTAATATTTTTTTCTGCCAAATTAAGTTGAATTACACTCTATATAAACCATATTGTCTAAACACTCCAAACTATTGGACAAAATCTATAGTCTACTATGAAAGAAATTAATCAGAAACCAGAAGTTTGATGCTCCGAGTAGTTTCGGTGCAATCCTACTCGCTGCTTCATACCAATACTTAAAGGAACATTTGGGAAATACACTTTAACATATTTCGCTGAGAGTTAGATGAGAATTTACAGTATATACCACTTTTGTGTCTGAATGCTAGTTATGAGGCTACACCAAACAAACGGTTATCTTAGCTTAGTGTAAAGACTGAAAACTTGGTATCGATCTTCTCATCTAACTCTCAATAAGAAAGCAAATACCCGTTTTTTTTAAAATGTCAAAATCTTCCTTTAATTCAGTCATCACCAATGCATATTTGGTCTTCCCTTTACTTGTTTAAACTTACTTGTTCCTTTATTCTGTTCTTCCTCTTTTCATGCTTATCTTTTAATTTCCCACGCATACATGCCTATATCCTCCATTCCCCTTTACACTTTTTAAAAATCTTACTTCCATCCTCCTTATGCCCCTAATTGTTCCAACTGTTTTCGACTTATATTCAGTTTCCTTTATTTTCTTCCTTATATTTCTCCTTGCTTTTATCATCCTGCTCCTCATCTTCCTCTCTGTCCTCCTACTCTCCTTTTCTCCTTTTCCTCCCATGCCTATTCCACCATTTTCTTCTCCTTCCACACCATCCACTAACACCTCATACTGTCCCTCCCTTCTTTTACTCACCCTTTTTTCGTCTTCCTCCTCCTCCTCCTCCACTGTGGGCTGCTCAGTTTGGATGGGGGGGAGGGAGGGGTTTGAGAAACAGGGCTGACTTGCTGGCTGTTGTCATTGGCGCTGGAGCGGTCACTATCCACTGTCCCTTAAAGTCACTTCCGACATCTACCTCTAGTAGCATCTCCCCTGTAGTTTTCATCACATCGCTACCAGGTTTGTCCGCAGAAATCACCTTGCACTGCAGACTCTGGACTAGGGGTCAATGTCCTTAAAATGCATTCATTGAGGAGGTGAATTGAGATCGTAACGACCGTACTTTCTCTTCTGTGGGTGTTGCATTTGGGTCTCAGTTGACGTCTCTCTCTCTCACATGGATGTCATTGAAAGCGGTTGTCCCCTAACCCTGATAGAAAAAACTACACTACAGTAGCTTTACCTGCCACATACCAGAGAATGGCTTCTCCATAGAGAATGACTCACAACACGGTTTCACCTCCTCCTCCCTCCCTCCTCCCAACCATACACTCACTACACCCCTCACATAGTCCAGCATTGGTACTACCACTGGTGCACCATACATCGACTGCACTAGCTCAGCTAATGTCCAAAACGCTGACTCATGCCTGATGCTTGCACTATTGTCACAGTCATTCATCGGAAGAAATTGTTTGAACTGCGACACTTCAGTGTTTGTGTGTGAATGTGTGTTTTGCACTTGAGCTGAAATGGGTTTCTTTTTGTAGATAAGAGCTCAATATAAGTCTTAGCCTTTTGCTTGCGTTTTTTTTCTGTATCTTTTGAAGTGCAGATGCATGGTAAGTTCAATCTGAAATGTTGCTTGCCGTCTCTGTGGTTGCCTTTGGACAGAGCCAGGCTAGCTGTTTATGCTAAGCTAAGCTAACCGTGTCCTGGCTGTAGCTTCAAATCTAACGGACAAGTATGCAAGTGGTATCTATTTTCTCTCTGTCTGCAAGAAAGGGAATAAGAATGTTTCCCAAATTGTTGAACCATTTAAAAAAATAAAAAGGATGATATTGCTGTTTCCTTTTTAAAGCGTGTACCAGTCCTTTAGGATACATTTATGCTGAAAACCTTAATGCTAAATTTGGGTTAAATGTTATTGATTAGGCTGCTCACATCCGATATATCAGAAATACAGTCTGTCATTAAGACACATCAGTGTTGCATACCTAAGGTGATTAAAAAATGTATTTGCTCCACTATAGCTGCAGTTTGAATGTAGCCTGCTGTGTACTTTACATTATTCCTGCGAATGTCTTCATACAGTTAGTGCAATTGGGAGATGTTGTTAAGGGGTTAAAGGTAATATATATATATATATATATATATATATATATCAGGTAAAGTTTATGTGGTTGATTTAAGTCATTCCTCAGATTTGCAGTTTTACAACTGGACTTTGCCACACGTTAAATATAAGGTGGGCTAATTACTCATCTTATGTGTTTATAGGACATTTCACTTGTTATAAGCAGTCCTGCCAGTGCAGTTGACCGCCTGTCCTCTCTCTCTCCCAGCCCCTGGTCAAGCAGGACAGCCTTGACACATACAACGAGCGGGACCCTTTCAAGAACGACGACGCCCGGGACGAGGAGGAGGACCCCGAGGACACAGACAGCGGCATCGAGGGCGAGGTGGACCCCTTGGATCGCGACGTCATCATCCAGCCCCCACCTCCGCCGCCTCCCCTCAGGCCTCCCACAGAACGGGTCAACTTCCCCAAGGGCCTTCCCTGGGCCCCTAAAGTCAGGTTAATTAACAGTTTTCATTTCTGCACTTTGGAGTCTGAAACAAACACCCATTAACTGTAAAATACTGGTAAAGAGTATTTGGACGTTGGATAGCTTTAACAATTACAAGCTGCAGTTACATGCCTCTTCTCAAAGAATTGAAAAAAGTTCTTTAAACTGCCCTATTATAGCCTTACTTCAGGATAGAAAACAGCTTTAATAAGACCTTTCTATGATAAATAATACTGATACTCATTATTGTAGCTGCTAAAATAATCCCTTTGTTAGTTTAAAAACACTTGGCTCCATTCCATTGAATAAAAGCTCTAAATTTGCCATTTTGACCACTGTAGACAGACACGACTTCGCACCATTTGGCTGGCAGCTGGTGTCAGTTTCCCACCCTGATTCTGTGCCACCATTTGAGTTAGGTTAAAACCAAATTAGAAAATCGTCTCACAGTTTTCTCCCCTCGCTGTCATCCAGCAATATGCTTTCCATCTGTGTATTCCTGACAGTGTAGCGTGTGGTGTCTTCCCAGGGTGCATGAATAATGCTTCTGACAGAGGACATAAAGTAGTAAAGTGCTTCATAGCAGCCCATTTATTATGCATTCATGATCAGAAAACCTATATTCTGTCTGTCTATTAGCGAACCTTATCATTAATTGTGCGTATTGCTATGTCTTTGGATCAAGAGTGCTGCGACATACAGGGCTGATTTAGTAGGAGGCTCACGGAGAGCAGCAGCACACAGTGTGACTGATGAGATTTGAGGAAGCTAATGCGTGCTGTGGCTCTTCTGCGTGCTTGTGTGGGTGATGCGCACACATGTGAGTGCTCCCCTGAAAACTGTCCGTTTGGTTGCTTGTTAATATGTGGGGCAGCAGGTGCCCTCAAATGAATCCAAAAGCTGACTGCAGCCTGTCTTTGTGTGTGCAGGGAGAAAGACATCGAGCACTTCCTTGAGACCAGCAGGAACAAGTTCATCGGGTTTACTCTGGGAAAGTAGGCATTTCATTTGAGACGTTTAAGATATCCTTTTAAACTGTGTCTTCTTCCAGTCTGGTGTAACTGTGCGTTGTTTTGCAGTGACACAGATACCCTGGTGGGCTTGCCCAGACCCATCCATGAGAGCGTCAAGACTCTTAAACAGGTGAATGGGGGAAATCACTGCCTCATATAGCATCTCATTCACTCACTCACTAATACCCAGATTTCCCAGTGTTATACTCCTTTTTCTACTGTGCCTTGGCTCATTGTGGTCAGAGTGCGTCTTAATCAATACTCTCTTTCTGCTGAATCCCACATAAAAATCCATACCTTTTTGTTTTAACAAACTGTAGTTACACACAGGAATACCCCTGTGGGTGTCAGGTAGCAATGCTAATAATGCTATAACGGCGTTTGAAGAAGTGTTAATTGTACATGTGTAATTTGTGTTATATTCTTATGGTTTTCTTGTCTTCTCCAGCACAAATATGTGTCCATCGCTGAAGTCCAGATCAAAAAGGAGGACGAGCTGCAACAGTGTCCCATGAGTCTGGTCAGTAATGTCCCCGTGAAATGATTGAACAATCACGACAGTAACTCTGTAAATCTATTTCTATTGTTTTAAAGCAACACGGACAGAAGAACTGAATATTTAATGTGGTGAATATTCAATCAAGATAGGAACATGGCTGTGTTATTGGGTCCTAAACGTGAGTGTTTTGTTTGTGGATATGAATTCAATTTTGTTTAGGGAGATGAGGAGGTGGCGGAGACGCCAACAGAGATGCTTTACCTGGGCATGCTTCCTAACCTCTCCCAGTACGTGGTGAGTGCCTCATGATGAACAATTCCTCCTCAAACTGTTGACCCTGGATTCACACCATCTTGCTACCAAATGTATGTTCTCTTGGCTGTTTAAAAACACTGTAAACCAACAGAATCTCTGTTCTACGGTTGGTACAGTTTCTCCCAAAAAGGGAAAATGTATTATTAATATGCAGAATTTCTTTTTTGAAAAATTCTGTGTCATCACTAAAACACATATATTATAGCTAATCAATTATTTGATAGATCTCTGCATTGTCACCTGTGTCAGATTGCCCTCCTGAAGCTGCTGCTGGCTGCAGCTCCAACCTCCAAAGCCAAAACTGACTCCATTAACATCTTGGCTGATGTGCTGCCTGAGGAGATGCCGTAAGTACTGTAGAAAGCACTGTGACTATTTTATCTGTTTCTAATGGTGCTGGGTTGTTTTTTGTGTGCATAAATTTGTACACATCTAGAGCCACATTCAGATCAGACAGCTAAACATAAAAGATGCATGCATTTTGTCAAATTTCACCACCATTTACAGCTGCACATAACCGTATCAGGCTCATTTTCTATGTTTCTTTTTTTGTTTCTGTCTGGAAGAAAATTTGGGTGGACAGAATACAAGTGAAAATGCACTTATTCTGAAATTGTTTTATGGTCTGCAGTATGTCCTAGTTTTAGACAAGCTGACACTCAACCAGAGAGCTGAAAGACAGTTTCCCTGTTGAGAAACCTTAGGTGCATCATTGACAGACTTATCAGAATATCTGCTTGTTTTCGAACAGTCAGTCTCTTAATAGTTAAGTTTTTCTTTTACTGAGACAAAGCTGTATTATCATTCGAGACCTGAAGGCCTTACTGTGTGTGTGTGTGTGTGTGTGTGTGTGTGTGTCCTCCAGTATCACAGTCCTTCAGAGCATGAAGCTGGGAATTGACGTGAACCGTCACAAGGAAATCCTCGTCAAGGCCATCTCTGCTCTGCTGCTGCTGCTCCTCAAACACTTCAAACTCAACCACATTTATCAGGTTACACACACACACAAACAGTTCTCCCTCCTACAGGCACCTCACATTATCGTTCTGTCCTTTTACATTATTCTTCTCCTTCTCCATCTCGCCTTCCCCATGCACAAACGCACCCTATTATCCATGCACCTCCCCCCCATGCTACCTCCAATACCCTCCACCTGATTATCCAGTCAAGCGTGCCATTTCTTTCATCCTCCTCTCCACCCCCCAACTTTTGGACCTCCATCCCCTCCTCACATCTCGCAACCTCCTGCATCAGCCGGATAGACTCACAGTTGGTCCATTCGTCTCAATAAAGATGGAAAACAGATTGAAAGAGAGCATCTGGTTTGAAATCTGCTCCTTTTTTTTAACAGAGTAGATTTGGCCCCATTTCAAGCACTTGCATCTTGTTTTATTTATCAGTAGTTTTTCGGTTCAGAGCGATGGGGACGGGGATATCTTCTGTTACTAAGAAGGGACATTCCTTCAAACTCTTAATGGCTGCTCTGTAGAGTTGTAGTGGTAGCGCCCTCTGCTGCCACAAAACTATATTACATCAGCAGAATGCAGCTGCAGTGGGAAGTCAAATTGATTAGTCTACTCTAGTACATTATTTGGCACCTGCAACAAATACTCTATGATAAGAACTGCTTTTGAGGATACATCTATTATGTAAGAATAGGAAGCATTACATCCAGTAAACAAGGTAAAACAGCACATTTAATTCAACCACAGTCAATGAAATTCATCTGCAGACTCGCCTGCTTTTAATCTTAGTAAAGCTTCTTGGATGAGGTGAAGGATTTGTATGGCTGCTGTGTGAGAATAGAATTCCTGGTTCTTGACTTTCTCCCCACACAGAAAACTCATCATTCAGGATTATCAGCTACAGGATTCATATTTTTTCTCTTTTATCCTTTTATGAGTTATAGATTTTCCCATCAACATCATAATCACCTTTATCTCATCTAAAAAGTACTTAATGACCACAAAAGCAGAATCATAACAAAAACAATTATTACTCCGTTAAAATGAAGAAGAGTTGAATTTGTAGTTGTTGCTTTTTTCCCCAGAGTGTAAACAAATTATTCCACTCTGCGCCTCTTCTTTCCCCGCAGTTCGAGATTGTCTCCCAGCACCTGGTGTTTGCTAACTGTATCCCACTCATCCTCAAGTTCTTCAATCAGAACATCATGTCCTACATCAGTGCCAAAAACAGGTAGGATCCTTGTCTCCTACTCTGTACCTTTCACAGAAAGCGCTGCACTTCTCGTTTCGCTGTACGACAACAGACGAGCTTGGTTTGGTGCAACAAACGCAGGAAAATTGTATCATTGTGTCTCCATTTCCAGCGAGTCATGCTGGAAATGGCTACCGAGATGATGTTGTAAAAGTCAGGGATTCTGGACAGATTCAAGTGATGTTACAGTGCGTAAAGTTGACAGGTAGATTTGGGAAGTGATCAGTGTGTTTCTTTCATTGCAGCATATGTGTGCTGGACTTTCCCCACTGTGTGGTCCATGAGATGCCTGAGCTCACAGCCGAGAGCCTGGTGAGTGAAAACACCGTCAGCGTGACACCTGATGGATCCTCACTGGACGAAGGTCGAACCTTTCTAAAGTGTCATCCTGACGTGCGTGTCCTGCGTGTGTCTTTTAGGAAGCGGGAGACAGCAACCAGTTCTGTTGGAGAAACTTGTTTTCTTGTATCAATCTGCTGAGAATATTGAACAAGCTGACCAAGTGGAAACACTCCCGAACAATGGTGAGTCATTCTTCTGAGTGCACACCCTGTGGGCCCTTGGATGTGCGAAGAGAAAATGAAAAAACAAATTGTCCCATTATGAGCGTGTACAAATCCATCAGCACAGAGCAGCCAGTCCATTTCCATTGGTATATTACACAATGAAGTGTTTGCAGTGTGCCTTTGGTTCACCACAGCACGCTCAAACATGCTCCTCTGGTCAATTTTGATTCCTTTTTCAGATGCTGGTGGTGTTCAAGTCCGCCCCCATCCTAAAGAGAGCTCTCAAGGTGAAGCAGGCCATGATGCAGCTCTACGTCCTCAAGCTGCTTAAGATCCAGACCAAGTACCTGGGCCGCCAGTGGAGGAAGAGCAACATGAAGACCATGTCAGCCATCTACCAGAAGGTCCGCCACAGGCTCAATGACGACTGGGCCTATGGAAATGGTAAAAAGCAGTCTGTGGAGCCAGATTCATGAAGGCTGGCCACAATTCATTACAAATGACATGCTTTGTTTTTTTTAATTTTATGAATCCTTTTTTTTTGTTGCGTTCTACAGAATTTTTCACAATTTATACAGCCAATAACTCATAATACAAAGAGTTCACAAGCCAAACAATAATTAATTAAGTAACCAAGAAAGGAAAATGATAAAATAAACAATATTAAAAGGATTGATAGAATGTTTTCTAGATCAAGTTATATTGAAAAGGAAATCTGTTGTAATTTTATTTCCATCAAGCAATTTGTACCTTTTTTGACACGGTATGGAAGGGTTATATTTCTTTGTTACAGCTCTAACTCATGATTTATGGTGTTCAGAGTATTATATCAAAGAAATGATCAAATGCAGCTTAAATTAAAAAAAAATGATGTCATTCTCCTGGACCCACAGCTCAGTTGGCCTCTCGGATCTTCATAAAAGAAACGGTCATGGAGATAATTAGTCCCAGCAGTCGTCCTTAATCGTCAAACTTTGCTGGTTAATACAACAGACGGCAGTGTAAAGATCACATTCACCCCACGCTCTGTAAACATAACTTAATATAGGTTAATACATTGTAATTCTTCATTTAATGGTCGATGTGTACATCTGTGCATGTGTACCCGTCTGTCTGTATGTACTGTGCGTGTGTGAAATACAATGCTCCACCAGCCATTGGCCAACAGCCTGGATGGTGTTGCCATGGTAACAGAGAAAGGGGGACTTCTCAGGGTCAACGTCCCTCACGGGAGACCTGTCACCATGAGTGTTAGAGAGAAAGATGGATAGAAAGTAAAAGAGGGAGAGAATAAGGTAGAAAATAAAGAGAGGGGGGAATCCACTAAGACAAAGGATATTGGTAGATTCAAGGGGAAAAGTCTAAGTGTGAACATTCAAACATATATTAAACGAAGGGTCCTGCAGACTGATGAAGTGTCGCCTCCTCTCACGCCAGATATCGACGCGCGCCCCTGGGACTTCCAGGCGGAGGAGTGTGCCCTGCGGGAGAGCATTGAGAAGTTCAACAGCCGGCGCTACGACAAGAACAAGAACGGAGACTTCGTGCCCGTGGACAACTGCCTGCAGAGCGTGCTGGGCCAGCGCGTGGAGCTGCCCGAGGACTTCCACTACAGCTACGAGATGTGGCTGGAGAGAGAGGTCTTCTCCCAGCCGATCCAGTGGGAGGGGCTGCTGCAGAATCCCTGATGGAGGGACAGGGATGGAGAGTGTGGGGTTAGGGTTGGGGGGTGGGGGTGTTGGTTGTGGAGAAGTCCCACACTAGCCTGTTTGGTTTCAGGGTGAGTTATGGAGTCCGCGGAGAGGAGGAGGGAGGAATGGTGTTATGCTTCTCATCCGTGATGGACGGATGGGGGAGGGTGAAGAGAAAGAAGCTGGAGATGGAGAAGCCACCTTCCAGGCTTTGCCGTGATGGGAGAAGATGGAAGATGAAGTGTAATATGGAGCAAATTTGACGAACGAATGGAGCTGCCTACTCTGTGCTCAGCACAAATAGATGCCACACACATACACACACACATGACGCTAACATGTGCCTATGACTACTGTGAACACACATGGACGTGGCAAGAACAGAGGTAGCAGTTGATAAGAATCCGCTGTAGCAGGAGACTGTTTCGGCCAGTTATACTGCCCCCCCCCCCCCCCCAAATATCTTCACCACTTTGTCAATTTATATGTCCCCCTTTTTTTAAATGTTGGTGCCTTTTTGAATCCTCAGTAATGTTTTCCTATTTATTTGTATCAATGTGTGTGGTTAAACAATTTTTTTTTATGAAGATGTAAATTTACATGATTTCTAATCGGTTCATCTCTTTTTTTCACACAAAGCCTATTGTAGGTATTGGGTTGTGGTTTGTAGATGATGGATTTACAAGTTTTTCTTAAGTGTTTTCTAAAAAAGGCCTTTTGGAAGCAAACCACAGGGTAATTTTGATAGTCTAAATGTAGACATGGGAGCAATTTCCACTAATGGCATATTGATCTCGCATATGTCACCAGAAAAGAAAAGAAATATACCAGCAGTAAGTGGGTTTGGGTTAGGGTCTGTTTGTGAACGTAAAATGTGTGCGGAAAGAAAAGAATTATACGCAAACAGGGCAGATGTGTGGAGGATGGTTTGGAGTGAGAAATAGTATTCTGGAAGAAACTGTATTGTGTTTGTTCTCTTTTAAAATAGAAAATGTACCTTTTATATAGCGTCCTTGCTATTCCAGATATCTTATGAACTTTGAATTCAGAAATCACAGAAACAAATCTGTCATCACTGATGTCATCCAGGATTTGTTCATGCTCGCATATCGAACCTACGGCCTGTTGTGTTCCCATAGAAAATCTCAGTGAGGTGGCACGTCTCTGAGTTGTTTTATGGAACCATCCTGGGCTAATCAAACCTCAGCTATGAGAATAATTAACAATTGTGAATCCCTGCTTGAACCAGCTGACTCCGACTCTTATCTATCTGCCTGACAAACAGCACAATATGTGAGACACCGGGCCCCTTGGAGATGGCCTTGTTAGGGAACTTTGCCACCCTCGCTTGGAAGAACACAGCTGTCACAAAAATGGTGCTGTTTTTCTTATTTGTCTTCACTGTACCTTATCCGTTCCTTCATGTCCAACTACCTAAGCGGGGCTCCAGAGTCAAGAGCTCTGGTTTGTTTCCCGTAAATGTCTGAAACTGAAGCACACAAACAAGCATGTTTGCCTTTCTTTTACATCATTCTCGCTTGGTTCAGATTGTTGCCTCGAGGGGTCAAAAGCAGTCATTTTTTACTTCGGCATAGAACAATACTTTTGACACGCAGTCTTGTGCTTCTCTGTGCATGGCCACTGTTTTGTTTTGGGTACCTGGTGACATTTAAATATGGTCTTTGGAATTTTTTCTAATGTTTCCAGCACAATTAGAAGTGTACTTTTTTTCCTCTCAAAGTCAGTGTTCTGCGTTACATGGGTGTTTTTTTTGTCTTCTTCAGGAAGGTGAAATTGTTAAAAATCATATTGTATACTTTATAGATTCTCAGGTTTATGGAGATAATATATTGCAAAAGTTTTTAAGCTTCCTTGCCATCATCTAGCTCACTACCTGTAGTGATGAATACACCTTTATCATCACATTCTTGTATGAAAATAACACCTCTAGCACTAAACATTTACTGCATAGGCTGTACATTTACACTGAACACAATAACTCATTGTGCGTTTGTATTTACGTCAGCGACATTTCCAGTTCAGATGTATTTTTTTGTATCTTGTGCCAAATTTGAGTGCCATTTTCTGTTTGTTTTTTCATCGCTGTTGCCTTCGTGAGCACATGTAAGGTTATTCATTCAAATCACAGCTGAAGGTTTGCAATACAAAGTCTTTATTTTCTACGGGAAAATTGTACAATCAATAAAAATTGCTGTTTCTTGTATCTGGTACAGTATTTTACCAGAATTGTTTAACATTGTATAGGTGTTACTATGGTATATATACATGTGTGTTTTTGTTACATTTCCATATCTGAATAGTCCAAATGAATACTCAACACTGCAGTTGTTCAGGGGTATGTGCAATTACAGATCCATATAGGCATTATTCAATGCAATGACAAAGTACAATATCAGAGCTGCTTATTAAACAATGTTGAACAGTTGTGATTGTTTGTAAAGTTATCGTTCATTAGCTGCAGGGTTGCAGAGGCTTGACAGCTGGTTCACACACACACACACAAGGTCAAACTGACCACACACTCGCATCACATCGCACATTTCCTCGGGCCAATGTTCCAACGGTTCGGGTACAGCTGTTGTGGATGGGGATGTGAGCATATCCTGCTTTGTGATTGGCTGGTGCTATAATGATGTACAACTGCCCTGTATTCAGCCTTCAACCTGACGGAGACAAGACAGCCAGGGAGAAATGGGTATACAGGGTTTATTTGCACGCTAAATAATGCTTATATTTCAAAGATGGAATTGCAGGTTTGTCAAAATCTTAACAAGTAAGAAAAAGTGTCTAATGAAATGAGTGCATACACGTGCCACTAGTATTCTTTGTTAGCTAAGAAGTATAGCATGTAATGCACCTTTCCTGTCGCAGCAGCATAAAAGCAGTGTGACAAAGGGCCAGGAAAAAAATAACCCCATTGTGACATCTTCTGAGTGAAGTTGAAGTTTACACAAAGAGACACTTGCTGTGTCGGAGCACCGCGGCCAGTACTTATACAGTTTAATTTTATTGTAGAACATATACAGTGTTTTATAAAGTGTAGTGCAATTATGCTTATTATGCTTGTTTTGCCAAAGTGTGCTGCATTTTCAGGCCCAGCGCTGCTTTGCCGAGGAACTCGCCCGTCCAAACCCGTCCCTGTGTGTCGGTGAACGCCCCGTCTCCCTCCAACCTAGAACACACCAGTTAGGACATCAAACTCTTACATTTACATGGATGGCAAAACAAAATGAATAAACATCAGGTCTTGGATTTGAATATTTCCCCCCAAAGTAATGAAATCATTGAATAAAATGTTTTATTCAACTTTGAAACAGCTCAAGGGGAAATTTAACGGAAATAATTGGAATGCTAGGGTTCAAGTGGCTAATCTTTAAGAGAGAAATGTCATATTGAGATGCACTAAACCACTGATTGCTGTGGGAGAGTACAACTGGAGCCTAGCTGCTTCATTCTGGTTATACAAGAGGGCTACCCTGAACCACTGCCCATCAATTAGACCACAGCTCTACAGTATAATCATGGCTCTTTTCAGAAAACATTAAAGGAATCGCACAGTAAGTGCCAAAAATGTATTGCCTTTTACCTGTTGTTGTGAAAGTGACCTTTGTAAGTAGAGCTGTCTGGGAAGGTATATGTTCCCGTGCCGTGGTACATGTTTTCTTGGAATTCTCCTTCATAGAGCGCTCCAGAGGGATGCTGCAAGGTCCCTCTGCCATGGATCTATTCCACAGAGGACAGTGTGACTAACCACAGCAAATACAACCATGCAGTCTTCAGTAACAGACATCAGGAGTATTGAATACATACTTTGTCTTCAAGCCACTCTCCAGTGTATATGACGCCACCCGCTGACGTGTGTTTACCAGCACCGCTCCTCTTCATCACCCCTGATGCAGAGCTGTCGCACTCTCCCTCTGTACAGGACATAGGAGACGTCTTGTTGACACAGTTCTGTGATGTAAAAGTGTAAAGCTGTATATTCAGTGATTACGCACCATATCTGTCCCCATTTGGGAAAATGTAGGACACCTTTATAGGCCCTTCCCCTATAAACAAATACACATATTTACCACCTTATCTGTCAGATGAATATGCAATATTTGCAAACCATGAATATTGAATATTTATCCTACCTTGAGCTTTTAATAAATAATCCCTTTCCTTATGGTCTGAAAGTGAAAACGATACAACATTATACAGCAGATGGTAAAGACAGAAGGTGTTGTTTGGTGTTTTAAAAAGTCACAATCACACCCCACCAGACATCCGGGACAGATGGTTGTCAGAACCGCTGTGTGCTGGCCACTTTATGAATGTGAAAAGTCAAACAACTCGATTTAAAAAGTTGAAAATAACACAAGCAAACATCGTGTCAGCTCAGCTCTACGCAAACTGCAGTTGCCATGGTTACAATATTTGGCGCAGAGCTAACTAACTAACTGCTTAAAAAAAGGGTTTTTTTTTCTCCTATAGTATAGTTTAGCTCAGTATATGTGGACCATATAAAGTCCAACAACCTACAGATGCTTACAAATAATACATTGAACGTTAACAAGTATGATATCCTAAAAACGTTACCGAACACCGGAAACGGAAGTATGAACCCTGAGTTTCGACCAATCAAAGACAAGCAGTCTACCGGTGAAACTGCTGTCTCAGGTTTGTCCATACTTATGAAAGTTAACGCTGTGTGTTTCAGGTACTTTTTGTACTTTATCGCTGATGATATCTTTCCATATACTAATGGTATTCTTGAGCATTTTAACATCTCGACTTGGCTCGTGATAAAGCTTCTCTCTGTTAGATTGTTAGATGAATATAGTGAAGAGTGAGTCTAGCTAGCTGTTAGCTCGCTAGCTAGCTGAAGCTTGATCAACTTTACAGACCCGGCGTGTCGCACTACGCGACACAACACCACGTTATTGCTAACTATATCTTGTTCTGTCAGTCAGCCGGGGGTTGGGTTTAATGGTCATCGTCCTGGTTGGGTTGTCGGTCTGCATGCCACCGTGTATGATTGCATAATTGTAGCCACCAGCGGTGTGTGTGTGTGTCAGCCACCATCTCATTGCTCACAGTTGAAATTAAGTGCCACGACGAGCCCCCCCACAGCGATGTGCGACACAGTGCTCTGCAGTGGATGTACAGTAGCTGCCTGCCTGGACTAATGGCTCTCTCTGGTGTATCCAGGATTATTGTACATTCCTGACAAGATTCATTCAAACTGTGCATTTTATGTCTCTTTACGTCACAGATTGATTGCTGCTATGAAGGGACACTAATTGAAGGTGAGTGTTCTGTGGGATTACAGCTGTGTTTTCAAGCATGTGTTGGTGGTGGTAATACTAGACTACTTAAAAATATGTTGTCTGAAAAACCATGTGTGTATGTTTTTAACAGAGAAATGAGTGCAAGGAGAAGAGGCGGGCAGCCAAACAGAGGAGGGGGAAAGTTTAACAAGCCAAGAGGAGGTGGACGTGGACGTGGAAGTGGAGGTGGCGGAGGTGGAGGTGGAAGTAAGAAAGGAGGAGCTGGGTGCTGGGATGAAGGAGATGATTTCAACCTTGAATTTGGACCCCCTCGTCCTAGCAGGTATTCCTTTTTATAGTGAAGGAATTAAATATAAGACTTTAAGTTTGTCACAATGTGCCCATTCCCTGCTAATTTCCTCTTATACCCTCCTCTCTCACTCTCTCTTTGTTGACCTGGCTTTGCCTCAAGACCTGGGAGAGGACGAGGTAGCGGTGGCCGTGGTGGTAGCGGTGGCCGTGGTGGTAGCAGTGGTAGCGGTGCCCGCGGCGGCCGTGGTGTTGGCGGCGGCCGTGGTGGTGGTGGCGGCGGCGGCAGGGATGCAGGTCGAGGAAGGGGTGGAGATCGAGGCAGTGGGAGAAGCAGAGACGATGGGAAAAGCAGCGGCAAGGCTCTCCCAAGGTCCCTGGCGAGGACACGAACAAGCCCACAGTCAAGTGACACCATCAGGCCAGAGATGATGAGCACCATGCCCTTGCAGAAGCTCTTCATGACTAATGAGAACCAAGAGCAACTCAAGGAGCTTCTGCGGAATCTGCAGACACGGGATTTTGACGAGCCATATGAGTAAGTACATTCTACTAAATGTGGTACATCCCTTTACCTGTTTAGAAACTAATTGGAATTCTATTGAATTCAGTTAAGTTTGTCTGTTGCACGTTGACATGAACTCGTATCATCCTCTCTGCCTCAGTGATTCCGCTTCAGATTATTCGGAGGGAGAAGAGAATGAGGAAGAATTTGACGAGTTGGACCACCGCGACGAAGGCCAGTTTTGGGCCACTACTGATGAGCCTGTGGAGAGGGCGGAGAGCCCAGCGTATGAGACGGAGTCCGATGAGGACCGGCCTACCCCTGAGCCTGTCCTCTCCTTATTTGCGATAGGAAAACTTTGCAGGTGATGTTCGGATTAGTTTATTTTGCTGTTGAAAATGATCGTGCATTTCATCTTAAGTCTGTTTTTTTGCTGCTGTGCTGTCAGGAACTAAAAAGATTTGAGTTGGTGAAGGTTTCCCTTGTCTTCTAACCATTCGTTTCCTCATCTTGACTTTGTGTAGGTATGGGTTTGACAGGGAGCGTGGAAAAAAAGCATTGGAGTCTGGTGGAGGGGAATTCGGTGCCACTTTGGAACAGCTCCTCTGCCAGATTTTCAGTGAGCGCTACGGCCAGAAAGCAGTTTCCCCCGATGGCCTCGAAGCGGTGCCTATGGATGAGTGGCTGAGCCAGAGGCAGGAAGAAGCTCTGGCTCTAGCTGCCATCTATGGTGAGCGCTTCAGTGAGCGCATTGCCAATACAGTCTGGACAATAACCCTGGACCTCTTATTCCTCTCAGACAATGCTGCTAAGAATGGTAGGCAAGTCGGGAGTCGAGGTGGAGGAGGATCCATTAGCATCCGAGATGTCTGCCGGTTCTTCTTGAAAGGGCAAGGCTGCCGGTTTGGGAACAAGTGCAAGTTTAAGCACGAGCTCCCCACTAAAGGGAGATCTGGGGCTGGTTCCCCAGACCTGGACGGCCCGAGCCAGCCTGGCTTCAGCAGCTACTCTCCTCCTGAGTATGAACTAGAGGTCCGATTCCCCAAAGGGAACCGTTACCCATTCCAGGCACCAGTAGTTGCCTTCAGCACCACTGACGAGTCCTTCGGGGCCGCAGGGAGGCTCAGCGTGACTGAGAGATTGTTCGGAGAAGCGTTGGCCGCGGCAAAGAGCAACGAGCCTGTTGTTTACACTCTGATCACTTTATGCGAGGATGAAACTACCATGAAGGACCTGCTGGCTGTCAGTCATCACAAATACAGCACGCCACTGCCCGTTGTGGTGCTTCCTCCACCATCTCTTCCCATGGCTAAGAGTGTGAGGATCAACGCTGCTGAAGAAAGCAGAAGTAATGGTACCAATAATGGTAATCATACTAGCAACAGAAGGACTGCTCCACCTGCCAACCGGAGACCAATAGATCGTGAGTCAACAAGATCAATGCCTTTTTTTATTATTTATCGTCCCTATTTTCACCAAATCGAGCTCAACATTGTGTGTGTATATGAGTTAAAATCCCACCTCTGTCTTTAAAGTGAAAGAGACGGTAGAGGCGGAGGAGCTGGATGAGAGGGACGAGGACGATGAGGATGAGGATGTTCCGGTTGAGAACGAGAGTTACGCCAATCTGAGGAAGAAGATGGCGACTAGGCACAACCCGAAGATAGACAACCTACTGAAGGAAAATGGCAAGCTGTGCCGAGAGTTTAAGAGTAAACAGGTGAAAGAAGGCCCATCTTTACATTGTGTCACAGCTCGCATCTTCTCCAACATGGTGTATGTATTTTAATGCATTGCTGTTCTCTCATCCTCCCGTTCACCCAGTCATCGGGGCGTTTCAGGTCCATGTTGGAGCAGAGGAGGAAACTGCCGGCTTGGAAAGAAAAGGAAAACATCCTCGACCTGTTAGACCAGTGCCAGGTGCTGGTTGTCAGTGGGATGACGGGGTAGGTCACAGAGGGTAGCATATAAACAATATGTAAAAATACATTATTTAAAAAAAATAAAGATCCCAGAAGGTTATATGAAGCAAATATCTGGTAGATATAAAGACGCTCAGCTCATTCATAGCTCTTGGTAACAGATATGATTCTGTTTTAATGTTTATCTTCTGTTGCTTCTCTGCAGGTGTGGTAAGACCACTCAGATCCCTCAGTTCATTCTGGACGACTCATTGGGGGGACCAGCGGAGGAGGTGGTCAACATCATCTGTACTCAGCCACGCCGCATCTCTGCCATCTCTGTGGCCCAGCGAGTGGCACAGGAGCGTGCAGAGTCTCTCGGCAACTCAGTGGGCTACCAGATCCGCCTGGAGAGTGTTCGGGTACGGCCACATTTGACTTGTACATGTGTGTAGTGTGCAGGATTTTAAGCCATCAGCATTAGTCACTGGATCCAGAGGACTTAGAATGCATTGCATGTGATACTACGTCCTAACTTAAGTATATGTAGCCAAGCTTTGTGTTATAAAATAATGACTTCTACCTCTCTTTTCACTGACTGACAGACGTCTGCCACCAGACTGCTGTACTGCACCACAGGCGTGTTGCTGAGGAGACTGGAGAGCGAGGCGGACCTCAAAGGCGTCACGCACGTCATTGTGGATGAGGTGCACGAGCGAACAGAGGAGAGGTGAGATTACATAGACTACTCACAGATGGTACAGAAAGTGTGCATTCAATTTTCAATTCATTATGCTTTATTGGCACGAGTGTGATGGAGACAATATTGCCAGAGCCTCAATCAATAATGATGTTAAAAAGAAAAGGGTACAATTCATAAAATCAAGAAAATAGCAGGGTATCGATCAAACCCGTGCTCTCATTGTGCTTTGAGCTGTCACCAAATAGCCTTTTGTTATTTAGTCAATCTCAGACGTTCCCTTCTCAAACAGGAAAGTATTTACTTCTTTGTAATTGTATTCACTCTCCGTCTCTGTTTCATCTTCTCTTGGTCAGTGACTTCCTGCTGTTGGTGTTAAAAGACCTGATATTGCAGAGGCCAGACATGAAGATCATTCTCATGAGTGCCACGCTCAATGCCAAACTCTTCTCTGAGTATTTTTACGACTGTCCCACTGTCCACATCCCAGGTAATTAGCCACTTGTGGTATCTGTTTTAGACATGACATGCACATCACATGTTCAACTCAGACGCCTCATTCCGTAGATTGTTTTTTTTTTTCCTACTAAGTGGATTTCTCTCGTTTCAGGTCGCACGTTTCCCGTGGACCAGTTTTTCCTTGAAGATGCAATCGATAAATCCCGGTAAGTACTTCAATCCAACAAATATTTAGGCAAACTCAGCTGAGGAATATTAAAACGTGAAAGGATGTAGTTGACTTTTTGTCTTAATACTCAGTTAAGTTTTATTTATTTTCCCAGGTATGTCATTGAGGATGGCAGCCCTTATATGCGCTCAGGGAAACAGAATTCGTCTTCCTCAGGTGGACGAGGAAGCAAAGTAGAGCCAAGAGACATGGTGGACGACTTGGGTGACGACATGTGGAACTTCATGTCTTTCTGTAAAAAGGACTATGTCAAAGACTCCATTCCAGACCAGCAGCTCAGCCTGCAGGATCTCACGGTCAGATTCAAAGGTGAGTTAAACGGAGCTGGTCTGTTTTATGGGTTCTTATACTGTACCTCTTGTCCAAATATTCTGTTGCTGCCTGTTAATGCATGAATGTTACATTTGTGTTGTTTTTTTCTGCAGACACTAAGAAGTCTGTGCTGAAGACTATTGCTACAATGGACCTGGACAAGATCAACATGGACCTGGTGGAGAGCCTGCTGGAGTGGATTGTAGATGGAAAACACGACTACCCTCCAGGTACGAATCCGCCATGTATAATCACAGTAGTATGAATTCAAGACTGGACGTTTGAGAGTGAACTTTTACTAAGTTTCAGTATGAACTTTTTGTTTCTTTATCCAGGTGCAGTGCTCGTGTTTTTGCCCGGCCTGGCTGAGATCAAGATGCTCTACGAGCAGCTCATGTCCAACAGAATGTTCAACAACAGGGGCAAAAGCAGGTCTGTGTGTCAAGTCGTGTGCTTTTGGCAACTTTAGTTCCTGTTATTGTTCATGAGGGTATAAAATGAATGCTCTGTGGTAGTTTCTTTTTTATCATTTTTGGGGCAAACCAGAATTTCTTGACTTGTTTAAAACCAAATCCTTGACTACATGATTTTACATTTGTGTTTTTATAGTTTTTTTTTTTTTATTTTTATTTTTTTTTTTTTTTTAAGGGTTGGTACATGGCAGCAAGAATACCATCTCATTATAGGGTGATCTTCTATCACTTTAAACGCTCTACTAATCAGAAGCTAACTAATGTGGCTGTACTTTCCCATCGTTAGGTGTGCGGTGTACCCACTCCATTCAACCTTGTCCAATGAGGAGCAGCAGGCCGTTTTCAGCCGCCCCCCAGAAGGTGTCACGAAGATTATCATCTCCACCAACATCGCAGAGACCTCGGTAACCATTGACGATGTGGTATATGTCATCGACTCCGGCAAGATGAAGGAGAAAAGGTAACCTCAAGTTGAGTCTTTGGATGAACTGTATTTGTATAAATTTGTGCATTTTTAGAGAATAATCATTGTGAATTGTACCATATTTTTGTTGCCACACACAATCAATATCAATCATACAGTACTTTTAAAATCTGTGCAACGTGGAGTTTTTAATACGTACATTTCTTCTTGACTATATTTTCAGGTACGATGCAACTAAAAGCATGGAGAGCCTGGTGGACTCGTGGGTTTCCCGGGCCAACGCTCTGCAGAGGAGGGGACGAGCAGGTCGCGTGGCCTCGGGGATCTGCTTCCACCTCTTCACCAGCCACTGCTTCCAACACCAGCTGGCTGAGCAACAGCTGCCTGAGATCCAGAGAGTTCCTCTGGAGCAGCTCTGCCTCCGGTAGATCCATCTGATTTTTCTTTGCTCAGTGCCAACCGTTTTTTTTTTTTTTTTTTTTGTCTCTGTAAATGCAAACAATAGAGCTTCATGTGTGACATGGCTACTGGGACTTATGCTTGGGAATGGAAACTGGTTTACTGGAGACAATGGACAATGGAGAGAGGGTCCTCTCTCTAGACAGTCCTTACCTGTAGCACCATGTCAAATTCAACGATATGCAATACACTATCTCCCCGTGCATTTACCATTTCCCTCTCTCGCCAACAGAATCAAGATCCTGGACGTGTTTGCTGAGCGGACGCTGGAGTCGGTCTTCTCTCGGCTCATCGAGCCCCCGGCGTTGGAAAGCTTGGATGCAGCCAAGCAGCGCCTGCGGGACCTTGGAGCTCTAACGGCAGATGAGAAACTGACCCCACTGGGCTACCACCTGGCCTGCCTGCCCGTTGACGTGCGCATCGGGAAACTCATGCTGTTCGGTGCCATCTTTCGCTGTCTCGACCCGGCACTCACCATCGCAGCCAGTCTGGCCTTCAAATCCCCATTTGTAAGAAATCGCTTGCTGCTGTCGAGAAGAACTCACATAATGATTATTAATCAAAAAGTGTCTCCTTCTATAGAAATGCTTTATATATTTGATCTTCTGTCTGTCTTCCAGGTGTCTCCATGGGATAAGCGGGAAGAAGCCAATGAGAAGAAGCTGGCCTTTGCCTTGGCCAGTAGTGACCATCTAGCTTTGCTGCAGGCATACAAGGTAAAGACTGCACTCATCTTCGTCCACTTATCTTTGTAGAAATGTTGACGTTCCAAATGGTAGATGTGATGGCTCATCCCTCTCTTGCAGGGATGGTGCTGTGCTGCAAAGAATGGCAACCAGGCTGGCTTCCTTTACTGCAGGGAGAACTTTCTGTCTGGGCGAGTCTTACAGGTGAGGCGGTGCTGTCTGAAGCGCCTACTTCACTCTCTTCAACAACTGTGCTGTCATACATGTCAGACATTTCTTTAAAAAAAAATGTCTGTTGTGATCTGTGCAGGAGATCGCCAGTCTGAAGAGGCAGTTTGCCGAACTGCTGTCTGACATTGGCTTCATCAAGGAGGGACTGAGGGCCCGGGTCATAGAGCGCATGAGCTCTAAAGGCACCGATGGTGTTCTAGAGGCCACCGGCCCCGAGGTAACGCACACACACACACACACACACACACAAAACCGCATTGTAGTGCTGGAAGTGTTTTTATTGGTTGTTCCAATGCACATGAATATATCAGTTGTACAATATAGATATCTCGTACCTCTATCTAGCTTATTTTATAGATCATTTATTTCAATTGTATAAGCTGCACATACTTGTACATACTTATTTCAGTCTGCTTTTAAGCACACAGATAAACTACAATGTAACCTTATAGTCTTAAGGACAATCTGATTATAATGATAAATGTTATTCCTTTTCAGGCTAACTTGAACGCAGATAACATCCGGCTGATGTCCGCCATGCTTTGTGCTGCCCTCTATCCCAATGTGGTCCAGGTGTGTATTCATTATTTCCCTCCATCAGAATAAGAAACTCAAGCCAGTGTGTTGGGATACAACGGTCCCGTGCCTTGACTTGGCTTCACACTCCTGTGTTTGGTCCTTTTGTTCTAGGTGCGATCTCCTCAAGGGAACTACAAGATGACGAGCAAAGGAGCGATGAAGATGCAGCCCAAAGCCAGCGAGCTCCGTTACATGACCAAGGACGACGGCTGCGTCCATGTGCACCCGTCGTCTGTCAACTACACGGTGAGATAAAAGAGGAAAGATGTGGCCTCGTATCCAACAGCTGTTTAGAGGTACAAGCCCCTTGAGACTTTTCTCCGTGCTCCAGGTTCGCCACTACAACAGCCCCTACCTGGTTTACCACGAGAAGGTGAAGACGAGCCGCATCTTCATCAGGGACTGCAGCATGGTGTCCGTCTACCCGCTGGTGCTGTTTGGAGGCGGGCAGGTCCACATGGAGCTGCACAAGGGAGAGTTTGTCATCTCCCTCGACGATGGATGGATCCGCTTTGCTGCCACTTCTCATCAGGTCAGAGATCAGAGATAACCGAGATTTGATAGTTTACATGCACAACGCTGTTTGAGATATCTTTGCACATCTCCCTGTACATGTCTGTACAGATTTTGGCTTAGTTGAAATATAGAAACACGTGATATTTTGATGATAAATGAGCATGGCCCAAACCTCAGTGAGAGGTGATGGTGTAAAAAGGTTACATGCTGTTTCTAAAGTTGTTTTTATATGCTCTAAGGATTTAACAGGCTTTTATGAAGAAAAAAAACAGTCTAAAATGCGACACCTCCCTTCTTGGCACCCGTCCCTAATATAATATATAATTCAGCCCTAGGAAAAGTGTTGCTCGTCTCCCATTCAGCATCCTTTTGAGGGCACAACTTTGCTCACCGTCCGATGTCGCAGAAGCTTAAATTAAGTGTGCTAGCAAGTCTTGCTCCACCTGTGCTTCGCTTATGCTGCCGCTGGACTCCCACGACTCCTTCTAGTGGAGAAAACATGATAAAGTGCCCTTTTTCGATGCCCCTATGGTAAATAAAACATGACTAAGTGCCCCCTTCCAGTGGAGAAAACGAGATGCAGTACACTAATGGGGGCCCTTTAAACTAAGAAAACATGATGCGGTGCCATATAGTCTGCCCTACATGCTAAAAAGAAATTGTCTGCATGCTGCGATGCACGGTTTGGTTCAGATGTTAGTGCTGTTAGCCGAGGGGGTTGTTTCAGATATTGGTGCTAAATATGTGAGCGTGTTATCCAGGTGGCTGAGCTGGTGAAGGAGCTGCGCTGGGAGTTGGACCAGCTGCTGGAAGATAAAATCCGGAACCCGAGCATGGACCTGTGCAGCTGCCCCCGAGGTTCCCGCATCATCGACATGATAGTCCACCTAGTCTCTACACAGTAGCTCTGCTACTTGATGCCCCCTTGCAACCCTTTTTGTCACCCTCAAGGGCTTAAATGCTTGGAGCTCTGCAGTCAACATGTGTGTCTGCTCCTGCATCACTGCCACAGTTTTGATAACATGTTACTCCATTATTTAGGGTCGTCGGGGTAAACTACTGGCTAGAATTTGTATTGTTCTACCACAGACCGATCGGCAGGGCAGATACTGTACTTAGTGTAATGTCCTATGGTTGAAGTACTGCTGACACCACTACTGACTGTTTAAGTATCAGTTTACATGAAGAAAAAAACAACTATTACTCTGTTGCTGCACTGGAGGCTTTTTAAACCAAATTCTGCCTTCAAAGAAGAAAAAAAAAAAATGTCTCTATGATGGAGGTTTGTCAATCACCTGCATTGTTCTTGCTGGAATAAAGCACTTCTCTGTATTTTTTACAAGTCTTATTTTGACATTTAAATGCAACAGAAAAAGGTGTTTATTAATGCCATACGACTAGTTTTATTGGCACACAGTTGATTGTTTAAGTTCATATCATTTGTTTATAGTGCATTTTTATTTTGGGTTGTGTCTCACTCACAACGGAAGTTTCTTGGGTCCATATTGGATTTCTTACACTGACAGTGGCTGCATACTTGTAATTATTGTTATTTATTTGTAATGCATGTTTGAGAGATCCAAGAGCTTCTGCATGGTACCGCCCTGTTTTACATTCACTGAATGTATTTAAATGTTACCGTGATGTCAAAACTGCACTTTCACATTGTGAATGCGAGGGCTTTTTAAATTGGGAGAATTTGGGGAGGATTGCCAATGAATTTGAAAGCTTATTGTCTTAACAAGTGAGGATTTCCACTGCACTAAAAATAAAAAAGCAAAGATAGCTGGCTGTTGGATTTTATTCAATTCATTTAGCTCATCTCTTGTTTAGCTTAGTGTTGCATGTGAAGCCTAGCTACGTCTCGGATGCAACAATAATTTACCTACTACAGTGCGAAGTGCTGAACTGGTAAGATATGCGTATATATTTTCTATTTGTGACAATTTTCAGCACAAACTGTTTTGAGAAAGCACTTTGTTACATAGCCATTAAAGCATGTTGTGTATCTGAAAAAACAGATCTGTTAATTCTAGCATTCTTCTGTGTACGCATCTAAGTTTACAGATGGATAAATAATCTCATATTGGAAGTGACCTCGACATGTAACATTACAGACTATCAGGGCATGTTTGATAGACTATCAGGGCTATCAAAACATGTCAAAGTAGAGGAACCAAACCTGAATGTAGTTAACCTTATTTTTTTTCAAAGCCCACCAAATCAGGGAAATCAAGGTCTCATAGTTCTAGACCCACCAAGAAGACTGAGTCCAAAAACACTCAAAAAAAAGAGGTCCTCTAGTGCAGGGGTTCTTAACCTTTTTGATCTTGGGGCCCAACTTTTCAAGTACAAAGTGTCCCGGGGCCCATTCAAATATTAACACTATTAGTTTAACTAATTGATCTCACTCTTGGTTTGATTTGTATTCAATAACTATATTGTTACCTGTTCAACTCCACCCCTATTTTGGAGCAAAACCGCCTAAAATGACATACCCAAATTAAAATGGCTGTAGCTTCTGAACCACTGTGACTATATGCATCAAAAGTGTCAGAAAACCTGTAGGTCATATAGAAACAGAGCAGTGGGCCTTTGGAGTCAGTAAAAATTGAAGATTTTTGTCTGCATAAAATAAAGTATCTTTCAGTATAAATAACTGCCTGTGGCTGTATCTGTACAGGTAAATGACCGTATAGGGCTGTAACTACACTATCAGTGAACACCTGCCTCAAATTTGAAGAAGATTGGACAAGGTATGACGATTCTACAGTGTTTCTTCCATGAAGAGATCCAGGCGGAGCTCTAAAAGGATATTTGGAGACCCAAATGGACACATGGTAACCAAATGATATTCTGACACACTAAAGGTGTTTCTCCCTTTATATTTAGCCTTTGCAAATTTCAAAATCTATATATATATGGTGGAAGACATGGTATGTAAGTAGGGACTTACTGTGCGTAATGGCTGCGATTGAGCGCATGATCGAGCATGACGGTAGCTCAGTTATGCAAAGTTATACGTTGGTTGACGGCTTACAGAAGAATATAATATGGTTTATACTTTAGATACTAGCGTTTTCTGAAGCTACTAGCTCCATGGTAACATCCGCTAGCACATTGTTGGGTCTGTAATGTATCTTTTCCGTCGAAATGCTGCAAGATCCGACTTGCAGCGGTTATGGCCACTTTGGACAGTGTGTGTTTGGGCTCCTTTTGTGAAAAATCCATAAGAAATGAAAGAGAATCGATGATTTCTTTGCAAAGATGAGGGTTTTGGGCATGCTGGGATACCAAACACGGCCATATTTTGTGACGTAGTTTGCGCAAGCAAGCCGTAGGAACGGAACGGAAGGGGAGGGGATCGAGGACGCCGGCGTCCTCGCGGAGTTGAACAGGCATAACCCTTGTCAAATAAATGAGATGATACAATGTGATGATCACAAAGACATTTATTTATCATGTGTATGTAAACCTGCATACACAACAAGAAGCCCAACAGTCTTTCCCACGAGCGTTGGATGTTTCGTCGTTAGGTGTCGCTTTATTTTTGAAGGCTTCAGTGCTTCGTTTGATAGCATTAGCCCACATTCCACACACTGAAAGTGTTAAGAAAGTCAGGATTGTACTTGTGCACACATTTAGACTTTTGGAGGGGGGGTGTATGGCACCACTGTCGTCTTCATTTTTTCTACCACTACAGTGTAGTGGTTAAATCGTGTAATGTTTATGATTCATTAAATGATTTAACACTGCTGCCCTCTAGTGGTTAAATC